CTAGAGCTGGAGCCTCTGGAGCTGGAGGCACTGGCGGTGGAGGCGCTGGAGCTGGAGGAGCTGGAGCTGGAGACACTAGAGCTGGAGACCCTGGCGCTGGAGGCACTGGCACTGGTGGCTCTGGAGCTGGAGGAGCTGGAGCTGGAGACCCTGGCGCTGGAGGCACTAGCGCTGGAGGCGCTGTAGCTGGAGGCACTTGAGCTGGAGACCCTGGAGCTGGAGGTGCTGGGGCTGGGGGTGCTGGAGCTAGCGGTCCTAGTGCTGGAGGCACTGTGCAGTGGCGCCCGTTTTTCGTTCCGCCGCAGTCGTTGTCTCTGCCGCCACCTGACTCGGTCCTTCGCCAGGTTCTTAGTCTCCCGTCTTCTACTGGCCTTCCTCCTAGCTTATTGAGTCCACTGCCTCACCAGTTGCAGCCACAGTTACAGCCAGACTCCCCACTGCCTGCTCCTTCTCCTTGCGCTGAGCAGGCAGACTCTTTTACAGAGCATCGTGAGCCTAAGTCTCATCCTGCCTCGCCTGTTCGCGCTGTTCGTACTGGTCGTCGTGTTCCTCATCCGCGTCCTCCTCCTATCCCTGGCACTCACATTATGGCACTTCGTCCTTCCTCTGATCCACTGCGAGTTCCCCTGCCGCCTCCTCCTTTGTCCTCTCTTCCTACCGTTTTTTACGCTGAGTCTGACTTAGCTCGTGCTACCACTCCTACTATCTCTCGTCTTCTAGCCACTGTTGTCACTGACCCTTTGTTTGAGTCCACTACTGCGTCTGCCCTAGTTGCTGAGCTTGTTGACTTTGCTGCCGCCTGTCGTCTTGACTACGCCACTAGTCTTATTGCTGAGTCTGAGTCTGACTGTCCTCCGTCCATCGGGGGTGAGTGTGCTCTTGGCACGGACGTCCTTGAGGACAGATAGGAGGACTTTGAGTGTTTTGAAGCTGCTGTACTTTATCTCGAGGCCATGCTGCTTGCACCTGAGAGAGACCCGGATGCACCAGACATCCCGACCACGCGCTCTTACACAGAGACGATTACGGGTCCCTACTCCTCTCAGTGGCAGACAGCCATGGACACAGAGATTGCATCCTGGAAATCCACATCCACCTACGTCGACGCAGTTCCCCCTTCAGGGGCGAACATAGTCGATGGCATGTGGATTTTCAGGGTGAAGCGGCCGCCGGGTTCTCCGCCTGTCTTCAAGGCTCGTTACGTTGCACGAGGCTTTAGTCAGCGACAGGGAGTTGACTTCTTCCATACCTTCTCCCCTACCCCGAAGATGACCACTCTTCGGGTGTTGCTGCACGTCGCCGCTCAGCATGACTACGAGTTGCACTCTCTTGAATTCAGCACAGCTTTCTTACAGGGCAGCCTGCACGAGGAGATCTGGCTGCGCCGCCCACCTGGCTTCACTGGGTCGTTTCTTGCAGGTAACCAGTGGAGCCTCCGGCGGCTAATCTACGGTCTCCGCCAGGCACCTCGCGAGTGGCACGACACACTGAGGACGACGCTTGCGGCTCTTGGGTTTGCGCCTTCGACTGCTGACCCGTCGATGTTTCTGCGCACCAACACTTCGCTGCTGCCATTCTACGTCCTCGTGTACGTCGACGTCTTGGTCTTTGCCACTGCTGACAGTGAGGCACTAGCCCTTGTGAAGTCAAAGCTGCAGAAGAGACACACCTGCACTGACCTGGGTGAGCTGCGCAGCTATCTTGGCTTGCAGATCACCCCGGACAGAGCACGGCGCACCATCACCCTGACTCAGTCACACATGGTGCACCAGGTCCTTCAGCGCTTCGGCTTCCGGTACTGCTCGCCACAGTCCAATCCTCTGCCTACCGGTCACTCGCTCTCAACTCCACCTTCGGACGAGTCCGTAGAGCCGAGTGGCCCGTATCCAGAGCTTGTGGGCTGCCTCATGTACCTGATGACCTGCATTCGACCTGACCTTGCCTACCGTCTTAGCATCCCGGCACGCTACGTTGCGCCCGGGAGACACCGACCAGAGCACTAGGAGGCTGCTAAGAGGGTGTTGCGCTACTTGTGCAGTACATCGGGCATGGGGCTCGTGCTTGAACGACGGGGTCCAGTTGTCCTCACTAGACACGCAGACGCTTCTTGGGTTGACGACTTGGCTACGCAGCGTTCGTCATAGGGTTAGATTTTCAGCCTTGGCTCCGGCTCTGTTTCTTGGCGGTCTACCCGCTCGTGAACTGGCATTGTGGCCATTTGCTTGTGCTCGGAATGTGTGGTGACTTCGTGATCCACCCTGAGCTTGCTTTGCTTTTCTTGACTAGTCTTTTGACCACTTGTTCTCCCCCACTGTGCCTATGGGGGTGTGTCAAAATGTTATAGTGCGAGAGGAGAGCTTGCTCGCTTTGGCATCGCGAACAAGCGAGAGCGCGCCACAGACCCGAAACACCGACGCATCGCCAACCTTCCCCGTCCACCGGAGTGTGGGCGAGGTCTCTGGCTCAGAGACACAGGACCAGAGGTTGAGCTGATGTGCAGCGTATCGGACCGTAAACGACCATTGAAAATGGGGAGCAGATGCATGGATCATGGAGGTACGAGCAACCTCCATGATCAAGCCAATGCGACGCTCAACAATCCCGTTCTGCTGAGGAGAGGCCGGAAGCGTGAACGACTGGTGGATGCCATTGCTTGACAGAACTCCGCAAAGAGGTCAGGAGAGAAATCACCGCCCCTGTCAGAGTGCAGACGCAGGACTGGAAATTTCCGACTGAACCGCTCGCGCAGCTCGCGACGAGTAGCACGGATCCAGAGGATCAAAACACCGCTGACATCCGCCTTGCGCCGCAAGGGGAAGACGGTGGTGTAACGTGTGTAGTCGTTAACTACCAGCACAAAGTAGCGCTCCTGGTCCGTTCCACCGACGGGGGCCGGGCCCCTAACGTCCATGTGGAGAGTCTGCAGAGGAGCAGTGCTCGGAGGAAACTCGGAGGAGTGAGGAGCGGCGCGCTGCCGCCCCTCAACGCAGGGAAGGCACGGCGGGGTAGGCGAGCGCGGGAGGGAGGGCAGGGACCTGGGAAGGCCAGAGACAAGGAGACGGGAGTGCACACCGCGGAGACGCGGCAGGGAGGGGTGACCGAGGCGGTGGTGCCAGAGGAGAGTCTGGTGGGAGAGTACCCGACACGAGCAAGACACTGCAAGCTGACCAGACGCAGACACCTGACTCGACGCAGCCACCTGACCTGCGTCAGCCACCTGTGCAGACGCAGTGGTCAGTGTGTACAGACTAGACCCAGGCCGTCGAGTGAATGTAGCATGGTGACGGCCAGTCCGGGAGCACGTACAGATCGCCACACACTGCCCTCCAAGAATAAAGGTATCAACCCAGACATCCTAAACGGCAGCGTTGCTCACCAAGTTCATCGAGAACGTGGGGAGGTGGAGACCTGACAGAGAACCGGAGGGGACTACTGGACACGAGAGGACAGTGGAGGCTCATGCGACTACTGGGCCCCCAGTGGGGTCAGCCAGTGAGACCGGTACCGGTGCAGCAAGTGGTGTGAGTGTGGTGCAGTCACGAAAGAAGCAATGTGACGCGCATGAGTCAAGTGTGAAAGTGTGCAAGGCCTCAGATGAGGAAGGACCTGTGGCGGGAGACGCACGAGCACCTAAAGCTGCAGCAGACTCACTAGCACATGAGGGGAGAAGGTCTCCTGCTGACTCTGCTGCCGCCTCTGTGCAGTACGTAGAAAACCAAAGCCTCCACCACCTGGACGGGCTCTCTGAAGAACCCACTTGCGAAGCTGCTGAGGGGTGGGGTCGTCCAGGAAAGGCAGTGACCGCCGCTGTCCACCCCTAGCCACTGCAACTGCCGTGATAATGGCCATGACAAGCAGCGACGGTCAGTAGTAGGTCCAGCACCTCCAGCACCAGCAGCACCTCCAGCACTCCCAGTAGCACCTCCAGCACCCCCAGCACCAGCAGCACGCCCAGCACTCCCGGCAGCACCTCCACCAGCAGCAGCAGTAGCAAGAGCAGCAGCAGCAGCAGCAGCAGTAGTAGCAGAAGGGTGGCTCGGTGGGGCTGGTGATCGAGGTAGGGCGGCGCGGCTCGGGTTGGGCAGGGCGGCTCGGGCTGGGCTGCGCGGCTCGGCCGGGCTGGGCGGCGCGGCTGGGCAAGGCAGGGCGCGCCGCGGGCTGCAGGGCAGGGCGCGCGGTGGACATGGCAGCAGGGCGCGCGCTGTGCAGGGCAGCAGGGCGCGACGCGCGGGGCAGCAGAGCGCGACGCGCGGGCTGCAGTAGGGCGCGACGCGGTGGCTGCACCAGGGCGCGACGCGCAGGGCAGCAGATCGCGACGCGCTAGCTGCAGTAGGGCGCGACGTGCTGGCTGCAGCAGGGCGCGACGCGCAGGGCAGCAAAGCGCGACGTGCGGGCTGCAGCAGGGCGTGACGCGCGGAGCAGCAGAGCGCGATGCGCGGGCTGCAGCAAGGCGCGACGTGCGGGGGGCAAGCAGTGCTAGTAGCTGCAGGGCAGCTCGACACTGTGCGAGCAGGGTCGGAAAGCGCAAGGGCGCTTCGGGCAGGAACGAGCAGAACTATCTGTGGGCCCTAAAAACTAAACAGGTTTCGTGCTCTGAATACCATGTCAGAATAGCTGTGCAGGAATGAATGAACTATGAACTAACCCTAAGGTGTTGTATCCCTTGTAGGCTAACCCACTATAGCCTAGAGAGAACACAAACATACAATTTGACACCGCATTCCTCTTGTCGAATGGCCCCTCGTAGCTGCAAAGAGATCCATCGTCTTACCATCTCGTCCACATGCCAATTGCTCATGGAAAGAGACAGCACAGCACGCACTCCATACCATTGGAGATGAATTGTTGTTCCACGCATGCACGCAGCTCGTTATCCCATTTTCTTCCACGGTATGGCATATTCAACGCCTCCTCATTCAAACCCCACTTCCCCCATGCTTCCCCCCTTTCCGCCTTCCCGTTTCCCTGTCCATCGCCCCCCTCTGATCGGGAGTAGGCATCTAGAGCAGGCATTGGCCACCTGAAGGCAGAGCGCCCTCACGCACTTCACCGCCCGCAGCGACGCCCGTCCCCCCTCCACCAGCAAAGGCTGCTGCTGACTCAGCAGCGTGTAGCCTCGCTGCGACCTCTGCTCGAGCTGCCAAGGACATTCCTGCTGCCTCCTGCCGTCGCAGCTGCCAGGAAGACGATTGGGGGAAAGTGGGAATTGGGGGAGGGGGAAGAGGGAAAGGAAAGAAACAGGGAAAAAGGGAAGAGACGGAGAAGGAAGGATGGCCAGAAGAGGGTGGAGGAGGGAGGAGGATAGAGAAGCAAACACAGGAAAACTTGCGTTTGCATGCATGTGAACTGCACAAGGCAACAATCGCTGCCGTGTGCTATCTCGCGGTGCTGGTTTTCTCCTTTGCCCAGATACAGCAGAGAGGAAGCGGAAGCAGCAGAAGCAGCAGGGCGGGGCAACAGCAGCAGGACCACCTCAGTCCAAGGAGCAGCAGAGGTCCGTGGCGCGGAGGCAGGCGCAGGAGGAGAGTGAGGAGGGGATATGCACGCTGCGAGTACAAGCCCTGCAGCAGATGCCCTGCTGCAGTGGATGGTACACACTGCTACTCCCACTGCTGATACCGCTGCCACTGCCCCTTCTACCACCAGCAGCTGCAACTGCAGCAACGGCAGATGCAGCAGCAGCAGTGGTGGAGGTGAGGTGCGGCCGGGGAGGGGTTGCCAGAACAGTGGTGGACGGGGGTGGGAATACCCAAGTGGACCGCGGAGGAGTGCAGCCTGCAGGAGCAGCAGCAGCGGCGGCGGCGGCAGCAGCGGCGGCAGCAGTAGAAGCAGTGGATGCAGCAGCAGCAGTAGTGGCGGTGGCAGGGGCAGCAAGAGAGGGTGTGGAATCAGAACGGGGCGGTGTGGCAGCTGCAGCGGAGGTGGGTGTGGTGTTGGCGGCATATGCGAGCAGTAGGAGCAGCATCGGAGGCGGCCACATGAGTAACCAAGGTAGTGGCAGCAGGGAGAGGAGGGGAGGGGCAGTGGCAGATGGCAGACACAGGGAACCGTGCAGGCCCGGCGCAGAGCACAATCATGCAGGCGAGAGGCAGTCAAGAGGTGGCGAGCACAGGCAGCAGATGTCCCCATCCACAGCCGATGAGCACACCATCACGCCCCCCCCCCCACCACACCATCGTCATCGTCCAGGTGCGCCATCGTCCTCCCCGCCCACCACCGCCGCAGCTACCCTAAACGCGCCTGCCAGCAGCTGCAGCCGCCACGGACCCACAGGTACCGCCCCCACCAGCTTCCCCCGCTGCTCCGGTTCCTGACGTCAGCAGCGACGTCAGCTGCTCGCTCGAGGCGGAGGGTCTGCGCCCGTCCGCATCGTCCTCCCCCAGCGCGCCTTCCGCTCCGCCGCTGCTTCTGATTCTGCCCAGAGCGATGGCGGAACCCGCCGATGCGCCACCGCTCCCCCCTCCCACGTGCGGCTTCACCCACACATCGAACACGGCTTGCAGGGCTTTCGCCAATGCGGAACCGGCGCTTCCGCCGCTCATGCTACTGTCGCCCGCCGTGTCCCCGCCTGGCGCATCGGTTCCGCCGGCTTCCGTGAGCCCCGCGGGGATGCAATGCACGTCTGATCCCGCGGAGGACGCGCGCGCGGCTGTTCCGCCTGCACGTCTGCTCCCGCGGAGGACGCACGCACGGCTAGGGCCAGAACCACCTCCCCCGCTACCGCCTGCACGTCTGCTCCCGCGGAGGACGCGCGCGCGGCTGTTCCGCCTGTGAGCGCGGAATCCGAGCTGGCACTATCGCGACTCGATGGGCTGGCGGAAGCTTCTAGGAAAGCGTCGTGCGATTGCGCTAGGCCAAGCAGCAGCTCCGCCGTCGCCTTCCCCACGGGGGAGCCGAAGACGCGGGGATCGGCGGAAGCGCAGCGGCGCAGCTCCGCTAGTATCGCGCGCAGAGCGCCGGAGCGGCAGCAGGCGAGCATTGCGCGGCAGGCGGGGGAACCCGCGTGGGTTAGAAGCAGGTCGGGAATAGCCTGCAGGTAATCCAATGCGAGGTTGAGCACGGGGAGAGCGGAGACATGCGCGGAATAGGCGGAGGCGTCATGGTGCTTGCGGAGGGATTTCGGGCTGGTGGTTCTGCCAGCAGCTCCGCCTGCGGCTCCGCTGGAAGGATCCGGACCGGCGAGCGAGCCGACGGCTGCTGCGAGCTGGCGCAATTCGCGGGGAGCGAGGAATGCGGAAAATGTTACCGACGGCTTTCGGAACCGCCATTTGCTTTCTGACGCGTCGCCGTTGCTATCAACGTCAGTTCGCGGCGATGATTCCTGAATGCCTCCCAACGCGAGCACTCTTTTGACAAGCACATCGTGAATGTTCACGGATGTGCCTGAAACGCGAGGATATGACGGCTTTCCGTGGATATCGGCGGGAGGAGTCTGCGCGAGGGTTCGGAAAAGCTCCTCCGCGGAGCTACGCCTGAACACCATGGCTGTCTGGGATCGTTACGAGTGTCAAACTAATCTGAAGGCGCTCTACGTCAATGTCCCTTCAATGGAGCTGCCATTGCATCTAGTGCATGCTAGATACTCCCACCTCACGAGCTAACAGTACACAGTCTGCAAATAAATGGACGGATTAGGAGGGCGTGGGTGGCGTTGGGGAGGTGTGGAAGGGTACGGAAAGTGCTCAGGGATGTATGGAGATATCGAGGCACCTTGGGGACTGCCACAGCACACTGAACTGTGGGCACCCTTTCAACAAAACTGGACTGGAGTGAAATCCTTGGTTGAATGCCTCCTCGATATTCGTTTGGAGCTACACCCTGAATTCAATCTATTCTATGTACACCGCGGCTGAAGGAACCCATCGCAGGGAACATTCTTGGCTCGTGTCTGACATGAGGTCAGAGACGAAGTGAAGTTAAGGAAGACCCGAACCTGGAACTCTGGCAAATCAATGTTCGGAAGACCCGAAGTGGGCTACTTCGGGTCTTCCGAACCTCCATCCAAACCTCCACTTCGTGTCTGACACGAGGTAGGCATGCACCCTCAATGAGATTCACTCCCCCAGTAACAAAGGTCCGGGCATCAGCCTTTTTTTGCCAGAGATGAACGCGGTTATTATTTTCCTACCCTATGATATGTGCCATGAGTGCGAACTTTATTATTCTAACGTGATAATCTAATGTGGAACATGATAGAACTTGCTTGCTCCTGGGGTTGTTTCCTGGCTCGTGTCAAGCTTCCGGTCAAACTTCGTGTTTTCCCAGACCAGGGGCGATTTTTAGCCAGAAGACCCGAAGTGGGTCTCGGATGACCCAAAGTGGGGCCAACTGTGGGGCAGCTTCGTGTCATCCCCGGAAGACCGGAAGTATGACCCGAGCCAGGAACGCACCCTTGGTCTGCATGACTTCGCGTGATACCGAACCCCATCTTTGGGAAGGTATTTCGTCGCAACCCCCTCCAATGGCTTGGCTACGTGGCAGTGCTGCTTGGATTAGATTGGCTGGAATCCTGCTGCACAACCTGCCCCAAACCAAAGTCCCACATGTGCGGCGTTTATCGTGTTCCATGTCTTGAGCCTAACCCTGTCGTGTAGCCTACATAAGCCTTTACGTCAAGCAATAGACAGGGTTTATTTGTGTGGGCGAGGTTAGCGAAAGCTAGCGAAAGTTAGGTGGGACAATCAAGGCTCTTCCTGTTTTGGAGGTTAGGATGCGACAGACCACCACGTCAGGCTATTTTGCCCACGTGATGATGACATGCTCTGTTTGGTTGCGTTGGTCAGGTGCTGCATTTGGAAGTGTTGAAGCTGTTACGAGAAGCCTTCGCCTGGGGTGATTATATGCGCTTCGTTTGATCGCTTTGATGCTCTCAAGCTTCGGTGACATTGTGGTTGTGGCGCATGCGACACTCGCTCAAGTTCGCCAGACGAAAGTCATTAGGGACAGGCGAGGGGCCGACAAGACACAAGACACCTTACCGCCGACGTCTCTCACAAGAAGCAAGCAAGCCCCCCTCACAATGCTCAAAAGGCGCAACTCGTGCCAACTGTCCCCTTCCTCTCCCCCCATTACTGCTATCTTCCTGTTCGTATCACACCACCACCTCACCTCACGCCAGAGGCACAGGTCCCTCTGCTCCACCCTTTTTTGCCACCCGCAGACTCCCACCGTGGGTTTAGACGACTCTTCCGCCAGAGCCTCAGGTCGATATAGACGAAAAGCTGATCTGTTTTCGATGGCCCCTCATTGCTGCAGAGACATCCGTTGTCCCCCCATGCTGTCCTCTTCAGATCCATTGCTCATTGACGACTCCACATTACCACCACAGCTGTCTTGTTGTACGTGTGCACGCAGCGCGTTATCCCATTTCCATTTCTGGTATGGCAGATTCATCGCCTCCTCAATCCTTCCAAGGCCCGAGCGATAGCACACCAGACATGGACATCAGGAAAAAACCCATCTCGTCCCGGCGGGGGACCAAGTTACTCGCCATACCCCTCCCAGAACCCCCACCTAGTACCTCGTTCGTGGCCCTCCATCGTTCCACCAAAACTACCGCTCGAACCCCCGCCGAGAGCAGCCCCGCCGCCGGTTTGAGCTCCGCCTGCCGTCGCGCGTCTCCGCTTCCGCGCGACGCTGCCGTCGCGCTCACGCCCGCGCTCTCCTCCACCCCGCAACCGCGCGCCAAACCGCATCATGCGGCGCCGCATCCTCCTCCGCGACGCCCGACTGCCGTCGAATCCGGCGCGGAATGTCAGCTCGAAGCTTCAGGAACGGTGGCGCCATGCAGGCGGGCGCCGCGGCAGGCGCCGCATTCGCCGTGTTGCAAGCTGCATTGGCGACGCGTGTTCGTGGTATCCCTGCTGCTGCTCTCGCTCGCGGTCTTCCTTCTCATGCTCCCCGCCTTGTGGCTTGCTCACGCCTGGCCTTTACCGTCTCTGCCGTCTGTGAGCGTCGCGCACGAGTCTATCCTCTCGGCGCGCCTCAAGCCGCTTCGAGTTGGTCTCGGAGGCCCATTTAACTGCTTTATGCGCCGACCGTGGTTCACGGAGAGAGCTTCGACGGACCTACTAACGGATCTGCCGTTGTCGCATCTCCGGAGTCACGTCAGCGCGGATTTCTTTGTTCCGCGAGTTGGGAACGTAGAAAAATCCAGCCCTGCCCATCCCTGGTCCCTTTTGAGAGTATGGCTCCGCTGGAGCAGCGGAGAGACAGGTGGCGGGCACATTCCGCAGAATGCGGGGGAAAAATCACCTGCGTCAATGCGTGCCAGTGGGAGTGGCGATGTCGACTCAGCTGTCATCGCAGATCCGCAGATCGACGGCGGCGGGGGCGGCATCTGCGTCGCGATTCCTTCCTCCCCGCGCGCCTTCCCCCACCAGGAGCTCCCGCCGTGGCACTTCCCCGTGGCGCTGCTGAAATTGCTGGACGAGCGCCACTCCCGGCGGGATTCCGCGCAAGGAGGGGAGCAGCGCGGCGGCCTGGGGGAGATGCACGCGGTGGTGTATAGCGCCGGCTGCAAGGCGTCGGTTCCAGCTGCTTTTTCCTCCAACCGACGGCAGCGCATGGGTAGGCTCAGGCTGATCAGAGTGGCCAAGAGCGTGGAAGATATGGAGGCGGACTTTGTTGTAGAAGAGACAAAAAAGACGAATGAGATGGTTGGCGTTTATATGCGAGAGATCGAGCGGGCGGCAGAGGGATTGTCGATTCGTGTGGATGTACTGCGAGCGCATGAAGATGTGTGCCGGTTCATAGGGCAGGAGGAAGGGGATTTGAGGCGCGGTGGAGTTGAGGATAAGATGGTGGGGAAGGATGGGTGGGAGAGTTGGAAATGGCGCACGAAACTGGTCATGGACTTTGTCTATGTGGCGAGACAATGCCTCGCCACTCGGCCCAAGTATGTGCTGTTGCTCCAGGATGATACTCTGCCTGCGAAGCTGTATGACGTTGGGATTGAGAAGTTTGTGAGGGAGGATTTGGCGCATAAGAGCTGGGGAGTGGTGTCGCTATACAACCCCCAGTCATACAACTGGAAACACCAGCATGGGGACGAATATCAGGTGCCATGCTGCGCACAGGCACTCCTATTCAATGTGACCACACTGGAAGGGATGCTGCAGTATATGGAGGAGCACTTCATGGAGACAAACATGGATCTCCTTGTGAGCAAGTACCTTGATGCATCGGACATCAAGGGGTATGTTCACGTGCCTTCCTTGTTTCAACACCTAGGGTCTGTTAGGACCAAGGACAGTGGCACAAGACGGCCGGATCTGATACACGTAGATAATGATTTTGATGAGAATATTGTAGTAGGGTGAAAGTGAGTAGGATGGGGCTATTTAGTCTGTGTGGTACATGTATTATATTGAACATACATGCTGGTACATGGTTTTTCCAGCTGGAACACAAATTCCATCCATCAACGCAAGCTGCGCCGCCAGTATTCCTGGCTCGGAGGAAATTCCCCAATCGGAGTTCTTGGTTGGCTGGCATGGCTGTTGCAGTGAACTGTAGCTGCTGCTCGCGTGGCACCAGGATGGCGGGAAATTTTTCACGTGGCGAAATTTTTCGCCGCAATTTCCCCGTCAGCCAAAATCCGAATATGCAAAAGGCATCTTGCAAAAATGCCCACTCGCCACCACACCCTTCCTATCTCCAGACAGCAAAACCTACCAATCAAAACCTATCAATCCTCCACCTCAACTCTCCTCCTATCCTCATCATCTTTCTCATCCCATTATCCACCAATCAAACAAAAGATTCCATACCAAGCCTTCCAATCCAAGCCACATTCATTCCACTCACCAAGCCTTAAAATCAAAGCCAAATACATCCCATTCACCAAGCCTTAACTTCAAGGCCACATTCATTCTCTTCACCAAGCCTTCACTTCAAAGCCACATTCATCACCCCCATCTTATCCAACTCAACCAATCACAACCATTCATCCTTTCCTCATCCTTCATCCAACATCAAGCTCCACCAAATACAAAAGGGTCCTCTTCATTTCTTCAAACATATATTCTTCAATGCTACTTCATACCCAAACTCTCAACAAGTTCTTCAAGCTCCCTCAAGGCCAACCTCAAGTCCTCCTCCTTATGCTCTAGCTCCTAAGGCTTCATCATCACCACCAACCTCTCCCAACCCAAGCTCATAGCCATATGCTCCAATTCTAGAGAAGTTTGTGCCACATAGTTTTACTTTTAGATCATCAAGGATAGTTGATCTCAAGATCCTACCATGTACCTCATTTTGATTAATGTACTTTAAAGCTTCAAGCAAGATTGGTGTATTCTTCTACCCAAGGTCCAAGCTCCAACCTCAACATCCAAGCTTGGAGGCTTCTCTTCATTCAACAAACATTATCTACAAGTCAACATTCAAGATCAACTTCTCAACATTCAAGCTTTGAGGTTCTTCATTGACAACTAAGACAACATTTAAGCTTGAAGTCAAGATCAACTTCTACAACATAATAGTAAGAACTCTTTTCAAGTAAGTGGTTATCTCTTCCTCTCATTTTTCACCAAGTTTCTTTTACATCAAAGTTCATTTGCTATTATCAAGTTGTTTTATATTCAAGCTCTTTCCATAATAATCAAGTTTTTATTTTCAAGTTCGTTACAAGCTCCCTTCACGTATCTTTCAAGCCCTTTACCTTTTCTTCAATACTTTCTTTTAAGCCAATCTTGTTTGGTCCCTTTTATCCTTATCAAGTCTATCTATCTTCTCCTTCAAAGCTTTCTTCATTCTTAATTACTCCATACTTCAAGATTTCCTTTCAACTTGTTTTTGCTTTTCAACTTGGTTTTACTTTGATCTTACCTTTTCTTTCTAGGTGTTTTCTTTCTTTCTCCTTACCATTTACCCTCCCTCGTCTATCACTTCAATTTCAAGAATGGCATCTCACCGTGCTGCGTGGTCGAAGGCACACTTGGCGGCAAAACCGACGCGATCCGTTCACCGCGCTCGCATTTGATTTCACAGGGCGACTCGCTCGCGACTCGGTGGCGGAGAAAAACGTTTATCTGGATTGTTGTGAGAGTTTGACCAACTCAGTGCAAGTTTCTTGCTGGAAAGGGGAGTGGTGCTTTTCTTGTTGTGTAGACAGTAATGAGTGCGTCCGTCTTGCTGGAACAAGCACGAGCTTGAATAGCATACATGAGTTTGCTGGCCATTTCTTGCTCGATCGCAGTCATCGTAGCCCCGCCGATGCTTCGTACGAGTGTCTGGATTGAAACGTAGACAGCCTCGCTTACAGAGCAAGGTTGAACCGTTCGCTTTCCTGTCTCGCCGCAACGACCGCCGTCGGCGACGCACGGTCCGCTCCAGCAGTGCTTCATCAGTTATAGCCCGTCACCTCGCCTGCGGTTTCTTGAGCTAACGCAGTTATACTTAGTCTCTCGCTCGTCGCGTAAGCCCAGTCTGAGCGGATAAATAAGCTCGGTCCGTACATCTTCGATACATTCCACAGAGCATGTCAGAAGATTCTCCACTAAATTCGCAGCGACATCGGAGTTCGCTACCCCGCGAGTTTGATATTCGGATCTTGCACTCGATAACCTCATAGCTAATGCATGCAGGACGGATTAAGCCGCCCAGATCTTCTGCCAGTGCAAAGCGTCTAGAAACTACATTCCGCGTCAAACGGCCCTCGTTGCATAGTTAGTTCTAGTCTATTTGTATCAGAGGCGTTCCAAGGTAGCTGCCGTGAGGCGCGAGTCACAGAGCTTCACCCTCGCGATGCTTCCAAGAAGACCTAGCCAGTTGTCTTCCTCGTGATCTCAAGCCCTTACTGAGGTCACCTTCGCAGCTAGTCGCCACTCCCTGAAGGACCCAGCAAGTTCTCCGATCCACCGTCGATAGGAGAACATACACACTTATATCTATAGCACTCTACAAGCCACTTATTCGCGACTCGTAGTCCCAATTTAATCCGAAGCGGCATCCTCTCATTCCGTCCATGGCACCCTGCGGTACCCCCCCGCGCCTGCTCACACTGGTGGTCGCGTGGGTGGCGGCCGTGGCGCTTCTGTCGCCGGCGATGGTGCGAGCCGGCATCAACCGGGAAACCGTCATCGACGCCTCGCAATGTACGCGCGCATTCCCATCCCACTGCGCGCACGCTCATTGCGTTATAGAACCATTGTGGCAACCTCTTGTCAGGAGATGGTCTCCCATTCGCCACGCGTTCGCAACGGTATTCCCAATGGTTTTGTCTCCCACACTCGCGCTTGTGCGTGCAGTGGCGGTGCTACGCGCGCTGTCTAAGGAGTGGCGCCCCGGATTCAACTACTCGCGCGCGTGGCCGTCTTTTGTAACCTCTCAAAACTGGTTTTGCCACCACCCACTCTTGCTTGTGCATGCAGTGGCGATGCTACGCGCGCTGTCCAAGGAGTGGCGGCCCGGGTTTTTGAGGCGCCTAAATAATAGTCTCAAATATTGTTTCGAAAATCCGTCCACTCTTGCTTGTGCGTGCAGTGGCGGTGCTACGCGCGCTGTCCAAGGAGTGGCGGCCCGGGTTTTTGAGGCGCCTAAATAATAGTCTCAAATATTGTTTCGAAAATCCGTCCACTCTTGCTTGTGCGTGCAGTGGCGGTGCTACGCGCGCTGTCCAAGGAGTGGCGGCCCGGGTTCAACTACTCGCGCGCGTGGGCGTCGAAGCAGCCGCCCAAGCGCTGCATGGCGTACCCCGGGATCATCTGCAACGACAAGGGTATCATCATCGGACTGTACGTACTCTCACATGAAACGGAGCTACACAGTCATGTAGGCGTACCCTGAGATCATCGGACTGTACGTACGATCGTACGAGAGTCTAAATGCAGGCGGATGTTTACACAATGATGGCTGGATTGTAACGTGAAGGGGGTTCGCTTACGAAATGTCCCGTTTGTCTTTGGCTGTGTGCGATGGTGTGTGGCGGCTTGTGATGCGGTGTGTGCAGGAACGTGAGCAACACCAACATCAACGGCACCATCAAGGGAGTCAGCGCCCTCACCGCGCTCGCCTTGCTGTGAGTCAACGCGAGTCAATGCTCAACTTGCTGTGAGTCCACGCGAGTCAATGCTCAACTTGCTGTTAGTCCACGCGAGTCAATGCTTGCCTTGCTGTGAGTCAACGCGAGTCAACGCTCGGCTTTTCTGACGAAATCACTCCATCTACCATCCCTCTCATACCCCACCGTCCCCTCATCCCCCATCACCCATACCACTCCAGCTTCCACATTCCCCCCATCAACCCTATCCCCCACCCCCCTTATCCCCCCATTTCCCCCATCCCTCTCCCTCTTGGTCTCCCATCTCCCCCATCCTTCAATCCCCTTATCCCCTCATCTCCCCATTCATCCCATTCCCCCGGCAGAGACATGAGCAATAACCCGATCAAGGACGTGGCTCCCCTCGCGCCTCTCACCAACCTCGTCTACCTGTACGCACCTCGCAGTTCTGTGCGTATGCCGCGTCTAACTGCTTGTGTGCCACTCCAATCTGAGCCAGACCAGATTTTCCTTGGATTTCCCCCTCCGCTGCTCCTCGACCCCCTCTCCTTACCCCTCATCTTTCCTCCTCGTCTTCCCCCCACCATGGCACGCAGCAATCTAGAGGCATTGGGCATCAAAGCGGCACCCAACGCACTCGGCAACCTGGGCTTGCTCAAGCACCTGTGAGACTCGCACGCCCTTGTACGCGTTACAGGAGCCCTCGTTCCGCTGTATGCACGGATATTGCTGCTGTATACAATAGATCTTTGCCTGTTGCGTGCTGCTGGAGTCACAGCCCCGGGCAGCTCCCGTCGGTGCGAAATTAGAGTCCATTGTTTTCCACTAAGGATCACCCAAGGGAGCCTCACTGAGAATCATCCCTCTGTATCTCTCTGCATCGCTCTGCATCTCTCTGCATCTCTTTGCCTCGCAGGAATCTGAATCAGAACTATCTATCCCCTCCACGGATCTGTGCTCATGAAGAAGGGCAGCAGTAGGCAAGGTCGCCTTTAGCAAAGGAATGATAGTCAACCAGTGAAAAAAGTAACCCTCGAAAAAATTGATTAAGATCCGAACGTACAACTATCTATCCACTCCACTCCCACCCTTCGTCACCGCCCTAACCGCCCTCACCCACCTGTGAGCCCAACTTCCCTCATCCCGCGTGGTCACATGAGACATGCCATTCAGTCACATGAGACATGCCATTCAGTCACATGAGACATGCCATTCAGTCACATGAGACATGCCATTCAGTCACATGAGACATGCCATTCAATCTCTTGTTGAACTGTGCTGTTGCTGTGCGTCTGTCTTAAACATCCTCCCCGACCCTCTCAACCTCCTCAACCCTCCGTGCCTCCCCATCCTCGTTACAGGGACCTTGGGTTCAACGACTTTAGCGGATCTCTCCCTCCTGGCTTCGGCAACCTGAAGAACCTCAAGAAGCTGTGAGTCACCGCAAGTCAACCAAAGTCAAACAAATCGTCACCCAGGTCAACCCGAGTCAGCCAAGGTCAACCCCAAGTTAACCTAAGTCAACCCAAGTCAGTCAACCCAAGTCAGTCAACCCAAGTGTCCCGACTCAAAGCAGGAACATAGTTGAGTTCATCTAGGGCTGCCACCACTCTCCATGTCCTCCCTCCCTCCCTTCCCCTCCACTCCTCCCTCTCCACCAATCACTCCCTCTCCACCAATCACTCCCTCTCCACCAATCACTCCCTCTCCACCAATCACTCCCTCTCCACCAATCATGGCAGAGTGTTATCGCATGGTGGTGATGCTCTGGGCGGCAAACTGCCGCCCTCCTTCTCCTCTCTCACCAACCTGCGGGAACTGTGAGTGTGACGGAATGTGACGGAGTGTGGCTGAGTGTGACTGTGAGTGTGAGTTCCAAACTGCGGGAACTGTGAGTGTGACTGTGAAGCTATTTAGGAGCTTCAAACTCTTTTGAGTTTCAACTTTTGAGTCCCCTAATTTCCCCCCATCGCCAACTCGACCACAACTCTCCGCCTACTGCCGCAGGTACATGAACGACAATGCCTTCGGGGGCAGCATTCCTGCATACATCGGAAGCTTCCTCTCCCTTTCCTACCTGTGAGATTCCCTCCTCGTTCCCTGTCCTCTGCAACTTTCCCTCTTTTCGAATCCTGCATTTAAGCAATCATTCAAGTGACGGTACGCATCGTTTGTACCCGAATGTCCCATCGCCAATCTACCAGCTGTTCCCTTCCCCTGTATGCATGACAAAAATGAAGTATGCTTCATTTCCCAAGGGCCTCGCACCTCCTTCCCTCCCTTACCCCACCTCTCCCCCTCTCGTCCCATGTATCCTTCCCCCCACCACAGCCGTCTAAGCAACAACATGTTTTCGGGCAACATCCCCAAGGAGCTCTCGCGCCTCAAGAGCCTGCAGTTCCTGTGAGTCAACGCAGTCAACGCGAGTCAACCTGCAGTTTCTGTGAGTCAACGCAGTCAACCTGGGGTCCACGGGTCAAACACGCACATTCGCCACCCAACGAGAGACTATCACCATTCACAACTCCCCAAAATCCCCCTCTTCACTCCTATCCCTTCCCCCCTCCCCCCCGATGTAGGGGGTTGCGCTACAACTGGCTGACAGGGTCCATCCCCGCAGCCCTCGCCTCCCTCCCCCAACTCACCTACCTGTGAGTCATGCATCCATGTGAGTCATGCATCCATGTGAGTCATGCATCCATGTGAGTCATGCATCCATGTGAGTCATGCATCCATGTGAGTCATGCATCCAACTACTTTGTGGGGGAGGTCTCTTACCTACCACCCTTTCCCACCCCTCCCCACCCATTCCCACCCCACCCACACGGCAACGTGCGCTCCAACTATCTGAGCGGCACCATCCCACCATGCTACCTGCTGCTGCCATACCTCAGCCTGTCGTCCAACTACTTTGTGGGGGAGTCTCTTACCTCCCACCTCACCTTACCCCTCTTCACCCCTCCGCACCCTCTCCCACCCCACCCCACCCACACAGCAATGTGCGCTCCAACTACCTGAGCGGCACCATCCCGCCGCGCTACCTGCTCCTGCCATACCACAGCCTGTCCTCGAATTACTTCGTGGGGGAGGTGTCGTACAAGGCCAAAAACGGCACTTCCATCTGTCCTGCTGAGTCCGACGTGGACAACAACTGCCTTAGCCTCAAGTGGTGCGTGTGTGACGCCTGTTGGCCTCAAGTGGTGCGTGTGTGACGCCTGTTCGCCTCAAGTGGTGCGTGTGTGACGCCTGTTGGCCTCAAGTGGTGCGTGTGTGACGCCTGTTCGCCTCAAGTGGTGCGTGTGTGACGCCTGTTGGCCTCAAGTGGTGCGTGTGTGACGCCTGTTCGTCTGGGTGGACTGTTTCTCTTCCTCTTCCTCTTCCTCTTCCTCTTCCTCTTCCTCTTCCTCTTCCTCTTCCTGTTCCTCTTCCTGTTTCTGTTTCTGTTTCTGTTTCTGTTTCTGTTTCTGTTTCTGTTTCTGTTTCTGTTTCTGTTCCTGTTTCTGTTGCTGTTCCTGTTCCTGTGGCGTATTATAAACGGAGATGCATGAGGGAAGCTCATAGATGGAATCATGCCGCATTGCTAGCTCTTGTTGCGCCTTCCAACTTTCCACTCCCCGTCGTCCCTTTCCCCCACCACACACAGGTGGGACAAGAAGAGGTGTGTGGCAAGAAGCCACGTCAGCGCAGTGCTGAGGCCTGTTAGGCCGCACACCTGCTTCACATTCGCCTCCTCCCACCCCGTCTCCCTTATCCTACCCCTCCCATCGCCCCTCCCTTCCCCTCCCCCTCTAACCGCAGGTGGGACAAGAAGGCGTGTGGCAAGAAGCCACCGCAGCGCAGCACAGACTTGTGATGGAACGCACATTCGTCTTCCCTCTCCCCTCCAAACCCCGTCGCCCCTCGCACACCCTTCCACGTCACACAGGTGGGACAAGAAGGCGTGTGGAAAGAAGCCCCCACAGCGCAGCACAGAATTCTGCTGGACCTTCTGCCGGGCGGCGAGCCGCCTGGGCACGTGCGGGCGGCGGGGCGCGTGTGTGCCGGCCAGCCTGCGCAAGAACGACAGCGCGGTGGTGTATGCTGCATGCCAGTGCCAGAAGGGCGCTGCTGCCACGGCCGACAACCAGTACTGCGTGAAAGGTGAGGGAGATGCGAAGGGGAGAATGTTAAAGGTTGAGTGTTTAAGGGGCGTGTGTGCCGGCCAGCCTGCACAAGAACGACAGCACTGTGGTGTGTGCTGGTGCCATGGCTGACAACCAATACAGCGTGAAAGGTGCGGGGTGAAAAGGGAGGAGAGTGGATCCGGGTTTCACGGTGATCCCCTCTCACACCAAGTGCTTCCCAGCAGCACCTGCAAATCCTCCTATCCTTCCTCTAACCTCCCTCCTTCCAACCTCTCTTGCCCGAACCCACCATCTCCCTCTCTCCCCGACAGTCACGAATAAGTTGGTGCGCAAGCCGTGTCCGCCCAACCCCAAGTGCCCCCCCAGCAGCATCTGCCAGCCCAACTTCCTCTCCCCTCTCGGCTACCGCTGTGCCTGCACCAAGGGTTACCGCCCTGTGGCAGAAAATTACTGGACCGTTACAAAGTGTGTGGCTATTGAGGTATAGAGGTGTACACTATGGTAAATGTTAGTGTAGAAGTTGTACAGTGTATAAGATCATAAGTTAGGTACGGTAGCCTTTTGCTGCAGGTGTCTCCGCTACAGCCTAAGTGCACCGCAATGTTACTTCAATAAATTTGATATAGTGGAAGCATTTATTGAGATTGCGGCCACACGCACACACACAACTTCTAAGTGTTCTACAATGTGAAAAGCTGGAATCAGTGGAAGCCATTAAAAAACTAGTGCAAAAATGTTTTACTGAATATCTCGTAAAAAAATATTGTTTCTAATCCAACCCATCCCACAATGTGGGACTCCAATCGAGCCGTTCAGGCATTACTCGCTCACGCGCCTCTGAATCAAGAGTTCAGTCAGTCAGTCACTCCGGGTCTCATCCCTCCATACACCTCCCCATCACACGCACCCCTCACCTCCCGTTATCACACTCCACCTCTGACACCCTCCCCCTCTAACACCCTCCCGCTCTCACGCCCGGGGTCCCATAAGTCGCAGAACGGCGAAACCCCCAACAGCCGCCGCCCCCACACCCACAGTCACCAGGGTCACAGAGCTCCACCCTCCCCCACTCCAGCCTCCCCCCTCCTGCTCGCGTAACGCCGCCTCAGCCGCGGCGGTTACCACGTCCTTGTCCATGCGCCGGTTCTTGGCCACTAGCTCCTGGATTTTGTCTGTAGCGGCTGCCAGATCGTTACTGAGGGAGGCGTTATCCCGCTTCACCTGCCCCAGCTGGAGAAACATGGTCTTGGCCTCTGCTTCCTTGGTTGCTGCCAACCTGTGTGGGGTGGTGGGTGGTGGAACGGGTAGGGGTGGGAGAGGAAGGGACAGAGGGGGTCGGTACGGCAGCAGAAATTTGGGTAGTGGGTGGTGGAACGGGTAGGGGGTGGGAGAGAAAGGGTGGCACGTTATGAATAAGAAGATCTTGCTAGGCAGCTTAACAGAGCAGCGCACTCACTCTGCCAGCCTGGCATTCTCCCGGCTGCCACTCGCCAGTTTCCCCTCCACGTCCGCCCTCGCCTGCGCCGCAGATGCCACCTCCCCCAGCAGAGCCTCCACCCGCGCCTCCAGCTCCCCCACCCTGCTCCCCACACTCTCCCCACCAGCACCCGCCTCCTGCTTCGCCTGGCCAAGCTGCTGCGCTGCTGCCTTCAACTCCCCCTGCAGCGCCCCAAGCTCCCCTTTCACTGCTTCAACCTCTCGCCTCGCCTCCCTCCCCTCCTCCTGCTTCCTCCTCGCCTCCTCCGCGTGTGCATTCTTCTCCTCTTCCACAGCCTCAACCCGCTGCTCCAGCGCCTTTATCTGGTCCGTCATAGCCTGCACCTGCGCGTCCTTGCCCGTCAACTGGGCGTCCTTGTCCTGTAGCGCGGAGTGCGCCTGAACCAGCTCCACCTGCGTCTGCGTGAGGCTCTGCTGCAGCTCCGCCAGGTGCGCTGCTGCCTTGGCTGCCACCCTGAGAGCGCACAAACACAGGGAGACGGGGACGGCAGGAGGAAGACAGGGCAATGCGATGAGGGAGGGGGGTGCACACGAGGGGGGTGCACACGAGGGGGGTGCACACGAGGGGGGGGGTGCACACGAGGGGGGTGCACACGAGGGGGGTGCACACGAGGGGGGTGCACACGAGGGGGGTGCACACGACGAGGGGGGTGCACACGACGAGGGGGGTGCACACGAGGGGGGTGCACACGAGGGGGGTGCACACGAGGGGGGTGCACACGAGGGGGGTGCACACGAGGGGGTTGCACACGAGGGGGGTGCACACGAGGGGGGTGCACACGACGCTGACACTCTGCTGCAACTCCGCCAGGTGGGCCGCTGCCTTGGCTGCCACCCTGAGGCACAAGCGGAGAGTCACACAGACACATTGGGAGGTGGGGAGGGGCGGGGGGAGAGCAGGTGGGGGGTAGGGCAGAGAAGGGGTGCGTGTGAGCAGATGATATGGACAAGTTGGGGGGGGCCCACGAGAGCCAGGTGAGCCTCTGCTGCACCTCCGCCAGGCGGGCCGCTGCCTTGGCTGCCACTATGAGGCACAAAGAGGGAACAATAAAGGGGGTGTATGGGGGGGGGGAGAAGAGAGATGGGTCAGGCAATGCACACGCAGGCAATGGGACAGCAGGTTGCACACACCGCACTGCACAGCAGCACAGCAAAGATACGACAGCCCTACCTGGTGGCCTGGTCCGACTCGCCCTTCTTCCCCGCCAGCGTCTTCTCTGCCTCCGCTCGGCCCGCTTCTGCCACTGCTCTCGCTCCTTCCGCCTCTGCTTTTGCTGCCTCAGCCGCTCCTCTCGCCGCTTCTGCCACTGCCCGTGCAGCTTCAGCCTCCGCTCTCGCCGCCTCGGCGGCTGCCAGCTGAGCGGTGAGTGCCTCCACGCGCTGCTCCAGCTCTCTCCGCCCTTCGTCCCGTTCACCACTCGCCTTCTCCTTTAATGCCTTTTCTGCCGCCCACGTCTCCCGCTCTGCCGCCCAGCTCCGCTTCTCTCCCGCCCAGCTTGCCCGTTCCTCCTCCCAGCTGCTCTTCTCTGCCGCCCATTTTTCGCTGTCTGCCGCCCAGCTTTGCTTGTCTTGCTCCAACGACTGCAAGGAGCGGGAAAGCTCGTCAACTCTGGCCGCCGCCTCAGCTGAAGCCCTGAAGAAAGGCGGGAGGAGGAGAGAGCGGGGGGAAGAGGGGAAGAGGGAGAAGCACGAGTGAGGATTGCACAAAACAAGAAGTAGGCACCTTATAAGTTAAAATGGTGTTGCAAGTGACATGGCAAACGCCTGAACCCCCGGACCATCTGCAAAGGTCCTGCAATTAACCCCTAGCTCGCGCTCACTTCAACAGGTCGGCGCATTTCGCCTTCGCCTCCGCACACTCCTTGATCGCCGCGTCTCGCGCCGCCGCCAAAGCCTCCGTTTCTTGCTTCAGCGACAGCACCATGTCCTCATGTGCCCTCGCCTTCTCACTCATCTCGCCTCTCAACGCCTCTACCTCTGTCTTCACCAGATCCATCTCTCCCCGCATCTTCCCCGCCTCCGCTTCTTTCCCCGCCATTTCCCCCTTCAGCCGCGCGACTTCCCCCTCCGCCGCGGTCACCAGCCCCTCCAGGCGCGCGCGTTCCGCCTTCCCCGCAGCCGCCGCCTCTTCCGCCTTCGACGTTTTCTCCGCGGCCGCCGCCAGATCCTTTTCTAGCGCGTTCTTCGCCTGCTGAACGCTCTTCCGCGCAACTTCCGATCCGCGCTTCCCCTCCTCCAACTCCCGGCACCGCTGCGCCATCTCCTCCAGCTGCTTCCGCAGCTTCTCCGCCTCCACTTGCGCGCCGAACCCGCCGCTTCCGCCGCTGCTACCGTTCGCCATCGGCGACTCGAGCGGGAATCTGCCGGAAGCGTCCTCGAAGGTGGGCGTGCGGTTACCATCGTGCGGAGTTCGCGAACCGTCGCTGAAGTGCTCCGGCGGCTCCACGAAGACGTCGGCGTCGTGAGAGTCGCTCGAATCGCGACTCGCGGTGGCGCGGAAAGGGGAGGTCACGTTGATCGTCGGGAGATCTTCCACGGACGGCGCGCCAGCTACCGGGAGCGCGGATGAAGGATACGCTACGGTGGCCTTGGCGGGAGGATCGCTGGCGGAAGGCGCGGCGGGAGCAGCGGAGTTAACGGTTGGGCTAGGAGTTGCTGTTGCTGTAGCAGCGGTGGTCTGTTGACGCCCCTTCTGGTTCTTCTTTCGACCCATCCGTTCTGAGTGGTGTGTTCAACGCCGAGTTTCAGCTCTGATCCTTTGACCAAGATCTCCACGGAACGCGATCGACAGACTTGACGATCCGCGGTTATACCAAGGCCAGCAGAAGAAAGACGGAATGCGTCGCCTGATATCGGATGAGGCGGTTATGAGCAACGACACATGTCAAACAAGTTAATCGGCTCCGTTGGTCCTAACGGACGGATCAATAAACGGATGATGTCAGCGGAGCGTCGTGTGTAACGGAAGAAGCTCGGTTGGCACGCTAGGGAAAAACAAGGTAAAAACTGCTCAGTTAAAGCGACGGTGCACATTTGCCACTCAAAACCCAGAACCCTGGCGAACTGTTACTGCGGATGGAAAGTGTCCGCACGAAATCCTGGTTTTCGCCAGCCAGCACTTTCGCGCTGGCAAGCCTGGTTCAAAAAAAAAACTTCTGAACCCAACACTGCCAAAAGTTGCCCGTCGCTTTAAAGCGACGGTGCACATTTGCCACCCAAAACCCAGAACCCTGGCGAACTGTTACTGCGGATGGAAAGTGTCCGCACGAAATCCTGGTTTTCGCCAGCCAGCACTTTCGCGCTGGCAAGCCTGGTTCAAAAAAAAAACTTCTGAACCCAACACTGCCAAAAGTTGCCCGTCGCTTTAAGGAATGGGTAGATTCTGATCCCCTCATCTCTCACCTCACCATCATCATCATAATCAGCTTTGGGCGCCATGATGGGTGAAAACCGAAAGGTATGGGAGGGATGGAGGGAATGGTTGTGAAGTAGTTCGTGAAACCGACTGGGACCCAGTGTTACCGTACCCGAACAGCTGTAACATCCGAGATACACTAGAGAACCAGATCTCCCACAATAGTGGGGGTTCGTTGGGTGATCAAGGTATGATAGTGACGTTCGCGAATGTAACGTGCGCGAGGGGAGGTCCAAGCATTCTCGCCGAAACGCTGGCGGGTCAAACGAAGTTGGTGTCAGTACCCCGCAAAAACATTTTCTTCGTTTGGCACATAGTTTGTGTCGTAATGTATCATTTGGCGATACATTTCCCTTTCAGCCAATATCTGTGTGGGGATATGAGATAATAAACCTGAAATGCTTCAAGCTCAGGAAATAATATATTTTTCTTATCACTTAGACCTCGACCAGGATTTTGCACTACACACAAATGGTTGTCCAGCATGTCAGACCAAATTTGTCATAGCTGGGTTGGGAGGGAGTGCATCGCATGTTTGGTCAACCTGGATGAGAGATTGCTGGCAGGATGGCTAATGATTTACTCATTGTACGACTCTGTTGTGGGATGATAACAAATATGATGGAAACCTGCAGCAACAAATAGAACGGCGTAAGCAAGTAGGGGTTTCCGGACAAATAAAAGTCAGGAAGGAGGAAAGATGGATCGGCAGAAGCGAATGCAAAGCATTAAACACAAGAAACATATGCAACACAGGGCAAGATGGGTGAAATGCAGGAAGGAATGCACGGCTTCAACGGGGACATCACACACCTGAAACATACCCTGGTTTTACTAGAACAGTCTTATTTGCTATGGTGTCTTTGCACTTGCCCCGCCAAACTGCCGATTAGAGCGATGTTAGAATCAATCCTGGCCTCATCTTGAAGCACCCACAAAGATCATCGGGACGCCTCAACTTTGAAGACTGCCTCAAAGCTCATCGCCAGGTGGCCACAACGATCATCTGGACGCCAAAGCTTTTGAGACACCTCAAAGCTCATCTCCAGGCAGCTACGAAGATCATAGGGACGCCGCGCCAGCTGAGCTGCAGGGCGCCCGTCTCAGCATGCACTTCTAACCGGAACCTCTTGTCTCTCCCCTCTGTAATCTCCCTCCCAGCCGCCACTGTGTCCGGCCCTAAATGTACGGGTTCCAGCCCCACCGCTCTCATCCGATGCACCCATTTCTCGAGCCGCTCCGACCGCAGCCATCTGTTCATGCCCTCGCATGCCACCCCGTTCATTAAATCCCTTGCCAGAATGGTTTCCGCAGCAAAGCGTGACGAGGCAGAGTGCGGCATGGAAGCATCAAATGACTCGATGAACGCCGCGAAGTTGGCGAATGCGGCGTGGAGGCGCGAGAGGAAGAAGGGCCCGTTGGCATCCAAATCAATGTCGACCTGCAGGAGGAGCAGAGGGCGCAGGTCGCGGATCCACTTGAGGATGGAGTTGCGGGGATTGGAGCGAAGCACTGTGTCGTCTGGAAAGACCATGAGGCCCCAATTAGCCAGCACTATCACCTCCTCCCCTTCATCCACCTCCACTTGCGACGGGTGGAAGTCGAGTGGGTTGGTTTCTATGCCATGGAATGACAGGGAGAGGCCCATCATAGATGCCACCTGCTCCAGGTACTGCCCGCCCAGATGCACCAGGCCCATTGGATACTCCTCGACTTTGATGATCCCGAAATCAACAGCTGTGACTTTCACGTGGACTGTGGGGCGGGGCGGGGGAGAAGCGATCATAGCGATCATAGATGGAATGCCACTTTGTGGATGCCCATTGGCTGTGGTGGCGGTGGCAGGGAGGAGAGGCGGGGAGGAGAAGTGGGCAGCAAGGCGCATGAAAATTTGGATCCAGTGCGGCCCGCAGTAGAGTCCAATGGCTATGATATGCAGCCGCCGCCGCCGCACCGACTGGCTTGCTGAGGCTGAGGCAGAGGCAGGGAACGAGGCCGGCTGGGGGGGAGGAGCAGGGGCGTGCGGAGTGTGTGGGTGGCTGGCAGCGGAATGGGAGCATGGCCGTGTAACGTGGAGGTGTGGGTGGGGCGGCTCTGTGCGTGTGCGTGTGTATGCTGGTGTGGGTGTGCATGTGGTTGGTCGGTGAATGCACAAACGATTTCGTGCATTTCTGCAATGTTGGCGAGGTGCATGAATGCCGGCACTCCATGCTCGTTGCCGTGACCCAACACTGCCATTGAATCCTGCTCACATGGGACACGTGGCATGCATGGGGTGCATGGATGAATGGGATTCATGAACACGTGGCAAGCAGGAAACACTGCAAGCTTAGCACATACAGTGCCTGACTGGAAAGGGGACGTGCAGGAAGAAAAATACACTGAGCATGTGTTGTGTGTCTGTGTGTGTGTGCGCAAGGGGCGAATGTGGGGAGTGGGGATGGTGGGGAATGGGGAAGGCAAGTACCTGAAGGGTGATATTCAAGGGGGTGCACCAGCGGGTGAGCGCGGTGCCATCCATGCGCGCCTGCAGCGCCTCTAAGGCATGGAAGGCGATACACTGCCATGTGTCCCATCCCGCTGCCGCCTCCCTCCGCACCTGCTGCATGAACTGCCGCCACCGCACCTGGTGGGGGCGGAGGGGAGAAGTAACGCAGAGAACAAAACTGTGAGTAGTGCGCTGCAGCTCTTGCTCAACGATGCATCAGCAGGAGACAACGAGCACAAGCCATGCCAATTGACACGAGCCCCACGCACCGAGTCATCAACGGCCATGGCTTCAGCGAGAGCCATGAGCTGCTGCTTCAGCATGCCCTCCCTCGCGCCACTCATGGGCCGTGGCAGCATGCCCGACACATCCACTCGCAGGGGCCTCTCTGGGCCAAATGCAACAACGTGGGGGATGCCAAACGCCCTGCTTGCTGTGGTTTGCTCTGCTGCACTGCCCGGGGCAGTCCTCAGTGGGTTGCTGTGCGCTGTACTGACGCGAATTCTGCTAAGTGTACTGTTGTTCGAAAAGGATGCTGGCCACTGCATTCCCTGGTCATATCCATAAGCGGCAGCGCCACTGGTGGGAGCAGCAGAGGAGGGCAGTGTTGAGCCCATGAAACTACTCGCATCTCCCCGACTGCTTCCAACCACGAGCCTGCTCTCAGGCGCCTTTAGACAAGACACTGCGGAAGCTACCAAAACCGCTACTGCTGCCGCTCCTACTGCTGATGGTGCTGGTGCTGGTGCTGGTGCTGCTGGTTTTGTTGCTAGTGCTGGTGGACTCGCTGCTGCTGCTGCTGCTGCTGTGGAGGAACCTGGCACGGGGAACGACTGAGCTGCAGAGGTAGACGCAGTGGCAGCGGGAGCAGCAGGCGTGGCAGCAGAAGGAAGGCCCGGCGTGGCCGATCGGCGGAGGGGTGGCCAGGGGGAGGGCGCAGGGCGCGGCGGATTGATGTTATGCAGCATGGCGGCGAGACGGGAGGAGAGGTCCGGGGGGCGCCGAGGCAGCTTGCACGGGGGCGGATCGGAAGGAGGGTCGGCGGAAGGCCCTCTGATCCCGACCACTCCTATGTCACCGCCAAAGGAGGGCGAGGGGCGCTGGGCGTGGGAGGAGCGCTGGGGGGGAGAGGGACGGGCATGGATGGCGGAAGTAATGCTGGCGGGTAAGTTCAACTGGAGAGACTCCTGCTGCTCCTGCTGCTGCTGCTGCTGCTGCTGCTGCTGCTGCTGCTGCTGCTCGCCTGAATCGTAATCTTGCCTCTGCTGCTACGTCTGCTGCTGCGACTGTTGCTGCGACTGTTGCTGCGACTGTTGCTGCGACTGCTGCAGCGGCGCCAGCAACTGATTCGGTGCTTCCTCCTGCTCTGGCAGGAGCAGCTGCGCCCTCTGCTTTCTCACGATGCACCTGCTCCCAGCGGCCCCTCGCGCTCTGAAAGGGCGCTGGCGCTGTCGCCGCGAACAGCCTCTACGAAGCTTCCTCGAAGGTCAGCACCTGGCAAGAACCATCAGTCTGCAATGCGCGGAGAACGGATGCTGACGTGGCACGGAAACCTTGTTCTGGTTCCCCCTCCACATCCCGAGGTGGATCAGGACGCCACGTGGACGAATCAGCCTGTTCTGGCAGGCACATGTCTAAATTCCTGGCTGCAAGATTGCTGGCTGCAGGAACGTTTGAGTCCCGCGCATGGATAAAATCCGCGAAGATTGATGTATTTGCATCTGCTTCACGGGATCCATCCGTACACTCCTCGCGCGTGTCTGTTTGTCGTACGGGATCTCCGCCATGTGAATCCGGAAGAGTCCACCTCTCCGTGAACTCTCCAAGTAAATCATCCAATCGAAATTTTGGACTAACTTCGACTTGGTTATCGGGATCATCGCGTATGGGAACATAGCCTGTGTTAGCGTCTCCTGTATACGCATCACCTATAGGAGCATCATCGCCTATCAGGAAAGCGAGTGACGGATCTAAGGTAGTAAACGGCAACTCCGGGAGACCTTGCGTCTGCAAGTGAGAGTCGTCGCTGGAAGGCGGAGGATGAGACAGAACGGCTTCGTCGAACGACAGCCAATTCTCAACGTCTGCTGGCGCCACGTCATCAGAGACGAAGACTGTGACCGGCTCGCTGCTCATGTCTACTTGAATCTTGAAAGTTAACGATGGTAGCAGGTTGTATGCCATTGTTGTGCAGACGAGACAATCGCCAGGTCAACGAACCAACCAAAGCCTGCTTGTGGGTCATGGAGCTGTGGATGGAGTGAGTTCCCGAGGTCAGTGAATTCCCTAGGCGTGAATTTCGGAGCGGTGAATTCCTGAGGGGTGAATTCCCGAGGTGAAATTCCCGACATGTGAGTTTCGTAAAGAACCCTTCTTCGTTTGGCGCGTACATCTTAGATAAACCAGCAAATGTTAGGCACGTAAAGAACACATTCTCCAACCAGAAGAAGGAAAATAAGATATCAGTTTCTTTGGCACTTCCCATCTAGACCAGGTGTAAGCACTGAAAACGAATGCTTGTTCGTTTGAAGTTGCTGGGACTACACTGTATGTTTGGTCAACGTCACTCCATCCAAGACATGATTTAAGAGTTGTTCAAAGTCGCTCGATGGATCGCAGCATGCTTGTCATACAGTACAACTCGGGAATCGGGATGGCTTAGTCCACAGATTATGGAACCTGCAGCAACAGTTAGGATGGTATATCAAATGGGGGTTCCCATAAGGAAAAAAAGTTTAGCACAAGAAACATGTGCAAAATATCGCATGAAAGTTGAAATGCAGGTGTGTGGAGGTTAAATTTGAAATCAACTGGCCGGAACCTACCCTGGTTAGATAAGACCTGCTTCCTGGGCTTGGCTATGCTGCCCTTGCCATTGCCCCTCCAACTTGCGGATCAGGGGCATTGCAACTTTTGACACCGACTCGAAGCTCATCGCCAGGCGGCCACGAAGATCAAGGGCACGCCGCGCCAGCTGAGCTGCAGGGCACCCGTCTCACCATGCACTTCCAGCCTGAACCGCCCATCCTTCCCCTCCGTGATCTCCTTCCCAGCAACCACTGTCTCTGGCCCTAAAGGTACGGGTTCCAGCCCCACCGCTCTCATCCGATGCACCCACATCTCTAGCCGCTCTGACCGCAGCCATCGGTTCATGCCCTCGCATGCAACCTCATTTATCAAGTCCCGCGCCAGGATGCTTTCTGCGACGAAGCGCTGCGTGGCGGCGTGCGGCATGGTGGCATCAAAGGACTCGACGAGCGCGGCAAAGTTGGCGAATGCGGCGTGGAAGCGCGAGAGGAAGAAGGGGCCGTTGGCATCTAGATCGGCATCTACCTGGAGGAGGAGCAGTGGGCGCAGGTCGCGAATCCACTTGAGAATCGCGTTCCGGGGGTTGGAGCGAAGCACCGTGTCGTCTGGAAAGACCATGAGGCCCCAATTGGCCAGCACCACTACCTCCTCGCCTTCATCCACCTCCACTTGTGACGGGTGGAAGTCGTGTGGGGTGGTTTCCATGCCGTGAAACGATAGGGAGAGACCCAGCATAGATGCCACCTGCTCCAGGTACTGCCCACCCAGATGCACCAGGCCCGTTGGATAGTCCTCCAGACTGACGAACCCAAAATCAACGGCTGTGACTTTCACGTGGGCCGTGGGGCGGGAGGGGGGAGTAGCGTGTGAAAGAGGTGTGGGGGGAGTTGTCGGGTGCGTGCTACCACTGCTGCCGCTGCTGGTAAAGCTATTGCTTCCTGGCACAGGTACATCTGCGGCCGCACCTCCCCCAGTTGAACCGGCTCCGAGAGAGGGGGAGGAGAAGTGGGCGGCGAGGCGCATGAAGATCTCGATCCAGTGCGGCCCGCAGTAGAGTCCTATGGCTATGATGTGCAGCCGCCGCCGCCGCACCGACTGGCCGGCAGAGGCAGAGGCAGAGGCAGGGAAAGAGGCTGGCAGGGGGAGGGGAGTATGGGGGTGTGGACTATGTGGGTGTGTGTGTGCGCGTGATTGGTGGGTGAATGCGCGGACTATTTCGTGCACGGCTGCAGTGTTGGCGAGGTGCATGAATGCCGGCACTCCATGCTCGCTGCCGTGGCCCGACATTGCCACTGAGTCCTGCTCACATGGGACACGTGGCATGCAAGGGGTGCATGGCATAAATGGGATAAATGGAATAAATGGGATGCATGGCATGAGTGAGAAGGATTGGACACGTAGCATGCACGAAACACTGTAAATTAGCAGATACAGTGCCTGACAGGAAAGGGGACGTGCCAAAAGAAACAAAAAAGTGCGCGGGCACGCGCGTGAGTTTGTGTGTGTGTGTGTGTGTGTGTGTGTGTGTGTGTGTGTGTGTGTGTGTGTGTGTGTGTGTGTGCGTGTGTGTGTGTGTGTGTCTGTAAACCCACATCTAGATACATATACACATAGAGATGTCTAACAACGTTCGCTGGGGTGGGGAACCAGGAATGGTAAAACGGGGGAGGGAGGAAAGGGGGGAGGTGGGGAGGTGGGGAGCTGGGGAGGTGGGAAGGTGGGGAAAAAGGAGAGGGGCCAAGGGGGAGAGGGAGGGAAGCGGGGAGGGAGGTAGGTGGGGATGGGGGAAGGTGAGGAGTCAGGAGGGTAAGTACCTGAAGTGTGATTTTCAAGGGGGAGCGCCATCGCGTGAGCCCGGTGCCATCCATGCGCGCCTCTAGTGCCTGGAGCGCATGGAAGGCGATGCGCTGCAGCGTGTCCCCTCCTGCTGCTGCCTCCCTCCGCACCTGCCGCATGAACTGCCGCCACCGCACCTGGTGGGGTAGTGGCGGGAGGCAGGAGAGACAGGGGGAAGGCCGAGAGGGGGAGAAAGAGGAACGAGGGGGAAGTGGGGGAAGCGGAGAGGTGTGTGAGCGAGCAGATCCGTTAGGTTGCAGCTCACGAGTGTGCATGGTGAGGGATGGGCTGGGGAGGAAGTGAGGTGGGGGAGGGGATGAAATGAGGTGGGGGAGGGGATGAAATGAGGTGGGGGACGGGAAGGAGTAAGGCAGAGAACAAGACTTTGAAGTAGTGCGGTGCAGCTCTTGCTCAACAATGCATCAGGAGGAGCCAAGGAACACAAGCCATGCCTGGTTATCGATTATTCACCCCACCCCCCACGTGACACAAGCCATGCCATCCCCCACGCGCCCCACGCACCGAGTCATCAACAGCCATGGCTTCAGCGAGAGCCATGAGCTGCTGCTTCAGCATGCCCTCTTTCGCGCCACTCATGGGCCGTGGCAGCATGCCTGACACATCCACTCGCAGGGGCCTCTCTGGGCCGAATTCAGGGATGTTTGGGGCGGCAACGAACGCCCTGCTTGATGCATTTGCGCTAATCTCTTCACCGTCCGGGTCAGTGCTCAGTGGGTCGCTGTGCGCTGCACAGACGCGGATTTTGCGAATAGCGGTCTTGTCTGAAAAGGCTGCTAGCCACGGCACTCGCTGGTTATATCCATTAGCAGCAGCGTAGCTGGTGCGAACAGCAGAGGAGGGCAGTGTAGAGCCCATGAAACCACTCGCGTCTCCCCGACTGCCTCCAACCACGAGCCTGCTCTCAGGCGCCTTTAGACAAGACACAGCGCACGCTACTGCTACCGCTACTGCTGCTGCTGCTGCTACTGCAGATGCTGCTGCTGGTGCTGCTGCTGCCGTTGCTGGTGGAATCGCAGCTGCTGCTGCTGCAGCTGCAGGAGTGGCAGCAGAAGGAAGGCCCGGCTTGGGCAAGCAGGGAACCGGTTGCCAGGGGGACGGCGCAGGGCGCGGCGGGTTGATGTTTTGCAGCACGGCGGCGAGGCGGGAGGAGAGGTCCGGGGGGCGCCGAGGCAGCTTGCACGGGGGCGGAGCGGAGGGAGGGTCGGCGGAAGGCCCCCTGAGCCCGCCCACCCCCATATCACCACCGCGGGAGGGCGAGGGGCGCTGGGTGGAGGAGGAGCGCTGTGGGGGAGAGGGACGGGCATGGATGGCGAAGGGGAGAGGCCGTGCGCTGGCGGATATGCTAAACTGTAAAGTTCCCTGCTTCTGCTGCTCCTTGCCTAGGTCGTGATCTCGCCCTGGCTGCTGCGACTGCTGCTGCGACTGCTGCTGCGACTGCTGCTGCGACTGTTGTTGCTGCGAGTGCTGCTGCGTCCGCTGCTGCGACTGCTGCTGCGTTTGCTGCTGCGGCGTTAGCGGCTGATTCTGCGCTTCCTCCTGTTCTGGCAACAGCAGCTGCGCCCTCAGTGCTTGCTCACGCTGCACCTGCTCCCAGCGGCCTCTCGCGTTCTGAAAAGTCGCTGGCGCTGTCGCCGCGAACAGCCTCTCCGAAGCTTCGTCGAAGGTCAGCACCTGCGGATCGGAACCGTCAGGCTGCAATGCACTCTGAACGGATGCTGACGCGGCCTGGAAAGCTTGTTGTGCTTCCCCCTCCGCATCACGAGGTGGATCAGGACGCCACGTGGACGAATCAGCTTGCTCTGGCAGACACGTGCCTAAATTGCTGGCTGCAAGATTGCTGTCCGCAAGAACGTTTCCCGCGTCCGCGGCATACCACGTCCCCGCTTGTAACAATTCAACCCTCTCTACCAAGCCGTCCTCGGGCGTGGCAGAGCCATGGCTATGGTTCACGCCGATTGAGTCCCGCGTTTCGACGAAATCCGCGAAGCTTGATATAATTGGACCTGCTTCACCGGATCCATCCGTACACGCCTTGCGCGAGTCCATTTGTCGTGCGGGAATTCCGCCATCCGAAGCAGGTAGAGTCCACCTCTCCGTGAGCCCTCCGAATAAATCATCCAATCGCAGTTCTGGACAAACTTCGACTTGGTTAGTGGGAGCATCGCGTGCAGGAACATAGTCTGTGTCAGCGTCTCCTCTATACGCATCAACTACTGGAGCATGGTCGTCGGTCAAGAAAGCGAGGGACGGATCTGAGGGAATAAACGGTAAATCTGGGAGAAGTTGCGTCAGCGAATGAGGGTCGTCGGTGGAAGGCGAAGGATGAGGCAGAACGGCTTCGTCGAACAACAGCCAGTGCTCAACGTCCGCTAGCGCCAGGTCATCAGCAACGAAGACTGTGAACGGCTCGCTGCTCATGTCTACGTGACACAAACTATCGTAGCGGACGGATCTTGGAAGTTAAGAAAGCAGGTTGTTCCCATAGTCGTGCAGGCGAGACGATTGGTAAACCAAAGAACCAAGCTATGCCTTCGTGATCAGCCAGAAGAGTTGTGTCAAGTCCTAAGGCATGAATTCAGGACGCGGCACCTCTAGGGAAATTGTCAGGATCGGGGGGGGATCGGGGCCTCACACTGGTCTAGGCAAATCGATCGGCACACCGATGTGTCCACACTGCAGATTTGCAATCGCCTGGACACACCGAGCCACAGGTGCCAGGTTCGAAAATATATGGGGCAAAGTTGCCCAATCTCCACAATTGCACGATTGATGTGTGGGCACTGGCACATCGATCATGCGAGCCAGAGGTGCCACAATTCTGGGCACCAATTTATTGTACACTTGCGAGGTAGGGCGAAACCGGATACCAGCCTGTTGGCGATGTCGTGATTGTGACTTCCTCCCTAGAGGTGCCGCGTCCTCAGTGTCTATTCCCGAGGTGTGAATTCACGAGGTGGAGAACCCGATGTTTCGATTCTCCAAAGATCCCAACCCAGCCCAACCCCTCATTCGGGAAACCCCTCATTACCTTGCAATATCTACACCAAACAGTTCCCAACCCATCAAGCAAGCGGAAAATCTATTCACAACCGTACAGTAGCAACTGCAACAGCAAAAAACTACAAATAGCTCCATCTTTTCAGGGAATGAGCTAGGACAAGCAGGCACATTCATTCCCGACCCGAGCAAATTCCCTGGTGTCTATCGTTACGATCCTGGACAGATCTTGCCTTTGCCCGAGCGTATTCGAAGCTTCGGTTTCCGACAAACCGTATGGCTGCGTTAAAGCCAGGATCTCAAGTAAGAGAAATTGGCTTCAATTGCAAAACACTTGCAGCTCGAGTCACCCTGTTTGTTTAGGCGAAATCGAGTGGTTGGGTTGGAGGTTCAGTGTGCGACTGATCCCCGATTTGACCGTGAATCTCAATTGCAAAACAAATTGCTGTGCATGAGATTTTTCGGCAAGTGAGACACATTGCTGGGAAATGAGCTTCGGAACCCAACCAGATTTCCGTGCCTAGTTGGTTCGGAAGTTCACTGCGATTTTTGTTTGCTTCGCATCCCTCGTTTCAGCTCTCGTCAACTACTCTACATCGTCAACCAATCACAGCCTAACACAATTCACTAACTGCAAAACAGCCAAACTACTTGAGATCCTGGCTTTAAGTAACCACGAGGGGTGATCCAGGTGAAAGCTTAGACGAAGCAAACCTTCGCGATGGTGACCAGCGTATTCCGGATTCGGCGGAGCCGGAAGCAAGGGAGACCGACGCTAACGAAGGCGCATCCGGAATGGATTCACAGCCGAACGGCGAGCAAGAAGAGAATCCCCGTCAGGATGATTCAAGCGAAGAGGTTGAGATGCAAGTCGATCAGGTCAGTTGGCTTGTCTTTGAGACCGCTGCTTCGCTTCCTAACATTATGTTTCCTGTTCAGTCCCGTGCGACAATGATGTTCTGTATACCTCCATCATCTGTTCTTGTTCTTCAGGTGGTTCTGTTTTTTTTAATTTGTTTGTTTGTTTTTTCCTTATCTTGGATTTGCATTTGCATTTTCCGTTTTCCGTCTCGGTCTTCGTGTTTCGTCCATGGCGTCTGTCAGGTGCTGGAGGACGCGTTTGTGAGCACGTCGCAGGAGGAGGCACTGCATCTGCAAGAAGGCAAGCGTATGACTGACCCATTGACCACGCCTTAGCTACGCCTGTTCGCGAGATCCACATGATGGATTTGGTGTGACGTGTCAATCACGTCAGCAGGCAGGCCACAATTGGTGCTTCCTTGACAGACATCCTTTTCTCTGTTTTCAGGCCTCCTTTCCTGCTCATTGACCCCGCCAGTTTCGTTCTTCAGTGCACCACGCCCTCCCTTCCCCCCCCTCGCCCCCTTCCCAGCATATCCCCCCCCCCACTTTCCCACACGCGCCCATCCCGCTACCCTCCCTAACCTCCTCCTTTCTCGCTGGCAGGTTGGGAGGGTGTGACGGAGGAGGTCCCTTCTGATGACGTGGCCATGCCAGACTGGCACGATGACGCCATTGATCTGACGTGGCAGAACAGCCAGCCAGTCTCGCCGCAAGGAGCTCAATCCCAGGACTTCTCACAGCTAATTTCTCAAGACATCAAGCCAGATATCCAGCCATTCGCCGCCTACCCACCTGCGGGGCCTCTTCCCGTGCCTGTACCCGAGCCTGCTGCCGAACCTGGAGATGGTAGAGGACAGAAGACGAGGAGGCCCGGTGCAGCTGCGGCAGGTGGTGAGGAGGAAGTGAGTGGTCCGGGAGGAGCGGAAGAAGGGGTTGAGAGGGGTGGGATGGCAGCAGCAGGCGGAGGAGCAAGGGAGCCGTGCACTGCTCACACTGGTGCTGACACTGACACTAGCACACACGCTCAAATTTCAGCCCATGCTAATGCTGGCACCGAGACTAACACACACACTCACACGGCAGCCGACGCTGATGCTGACATTGGGTTTGGAGGTGGTTTGCACTCACAGCCGTGCTCCATGGACGCGGACTTGCACGCTCATCTATCGCCGGACATGCATGGCCACCTGTCACCCGATGTGCGCCTGCTCAGCCTGCACCATGACCACGATGAGCATGCTCATTTCGACGCCCATGTGGAAGCCAACCTTGATGCCCGTGCCGAGGCTAATGCCGATGCGGATGCTGAAGTTGACGCAGATGCTGATGCGGAGGGTGGGGTGCACGGGCGTACACCGGGACCGGAAGGCATGGATGTGCTGCAGCAGGTGTGTGCCGCATGCTACGCTAGGAGCTGTGGACGGGGGTGTGCTGGGATTTGTGCGGAGGGGTGTGTTTTTAGCTTATCCAGAAACCAAGTTTGCGTCCATCCTTGTTGGTTCTGTGCAGGTATTGGAGGAAACGGTTGAGAGAGATTCAGTGAGTGCCGCTGCCGTTCCCGATGCAGCCTCAACAGCCACCAATGCTACAGCTGCTGCAACACCCGTAGAGATTCCTGATGCTACACCTGCTGCTGCAGCTGCTGCTACTGCTGCTGCTTCAGCCGCTGCTCCCGAGCCTGCCACAGACTCGTTTTGCATTCGTGCTGCTGGTGCGGCTCAAGGGCCTGGTGCTGACGTGGCTGGAGTGCCCGTTGCTGATGTGGCCTGTGAGCCTGATGCTGACGTGGCTCAAGTGGATGAGGGCCCTGCAGAGGAGGCTCGCTGGCTAGCCACTGATAGCTATGGGTCGTTTGGGTGAGTTTGGCACTCATATGGCGTGACCCATGCACGCAATGCTCGCATACTATATTGTGCTCGCTCTTATCATGCGTTTCACGCATTCACTCATGCCCTGCACGCACTGCCGCACGTTCCATCTGCTTCCTCGAACCATCCCTTGTCCAATTCAAATAGCGCCACTGCAGGTGGCACCGGCAACGCTTCTTCTCCCTGTCACTGCCCGCCACCTTTCCTTGCTCTTCGTGGGCTGCACGGCTCATCTGATCATGCACGAACTGCATCTCTCAAGACTTGACCCATGCAGCCTTCCCCTCTTACACTTGCGCCACCGTGTCCTGCCACTGACTGACGTGCGTGCAGGTGCAGCAGCGTTCATTTTTTAGACCCCTTCAAAATAAATCTCAAGACTTGACCCATGTGGCCTTCCCCTCTTGCGCCCTCGTGTCCTGCCTGTGACCGGCATGTGTGCGTGCAGGTGCAGCAGCGTTCAGCCCGTGACTCAGGAGTTCCCAGACTCTGCTGACCTCTTCCCCCTGCCTGCTGACCACGCTCACAGGCTGGGCGACGGGGACAAGGACGATACCGCAGCTGATTCTATGGGGGACAAGGACAATAACGCAGCTGCTTCAATGGGGGACAAGGACAATAGCGCAGCTGTTTCAGTGGGGAACAAGGACAATAACGCAGCTGCTTCTAGTGGGAATGCAGAGGATAAAGCTGCTGAGCTGGATGGGGGCGAGGAGGGGAAGGTGATGAAGGACAGTAGTGCAGCAGATAATGACGGGGACGTGGGAGGTGCAGACAAACAGGGCAGCGCAGCAGTTGACAGTGGGGATGAGGGCGGTGGGACAGGTGAAGAGGGGACTAGGGAGGGGCACGTGGGGAGGGAAGGCGAGGGGAAGGTGGGGGGAGCGAGAGGTGGGGAGGGAGAGGGCAGGCGAGGGGAAGAGGAATTAAGTGATGAGTGTGCTGGAGTGGGTGGGGGTGCGAAGGAAGTGGACGCGAGGGAGGAAAAGGGTGAAGAGAAGGAAGGGGAGGGGGGTGATGGGGCAGCAGAGGTGCGGATTGGAGAGGCGGGGGTGTCAAGCATGGAGTTGGGGGGAGGAGGTGAAGGGGGCAGTGGCCAACAGGTGGGACGCGAGGCCGAGAGGGGTGAGGAAATGGGGGCTGGGGTAGAAGAGGAGGAAGAGGTGGATGGGGAGGAGGAGGGTGGAGGAGTAGTGGAGTTGGTTGTGGGAGACAAGGAGGGACAGGACGGAGGCGAGGGGAAGGAGACGGAGGAGGGAAGGGAGAGGAATGAGGTGGAAGGGACAGAAGGGGCTGAGGAGAGGAAGGAGGATGAGGATGTGAGGCGGCAGAGAAGAGAAGCCGCAGAGGAGGAGGAGGAAAGAGCCGCAGTGCAAGCAGTGCAAGCTGACGCCGGCGACCTTGGCTTGAAGGCTGCAACACGGCTTCATGTGGAAGGAGAAGGAGACGGTCCTGTGAGTCAGGTGATGGAAGATGAGAATGAAACTCGGCAGGGGATCAGGGATGGCGAGGGGAAGGAGCTTGGGCAGGGGAGAGGGAATGGTGTGGAGAATGGGCAGGGGGGACGGAATGATGTGGAGGATGGGCAGGCGGGAGGGGATGATGTGGAGATGGCAGAAGCGGGTGTGAAGCCGACGTTTGAGGCGTGGCTGGCAGGGGATGGGGCAGAGGAGGGCTCATATGAGACGCAGCAGACAAAGGATGTGATGCATGTGTGCGCGGACGACTCTGCTGCTGCCGTAGCGGATGTGCCAGCAGCTCCCCCTGCTGTTGATGTCCCCATGAATCTTGAGCCATCCGAAAAGTCGTTGGACACGCAGCAGACAAGGGATGCGATGCATGTGGACGCGGATGTCTCTGCCGCCGCCCTTGCGGGTGTGTCTGGAGCTCCCTCTGCCAATGATGTCCCCATGGCCCTGGATGGTGATACAGGCAAAAAGGGGGAGGTGGAAGGAGCGAAGGAGGCAGAGGGAGAAAAGGAGGTGCTGGGAGAAAAGGAGGTGGAGGGAGAAGAGGAGCTGGAGGGAGAGGAGGACGTGGGGAGGAATGCTAAAGCGAAAGAACGTGGGCAGGAGGAGGTGGAGGAGAAGAGGAGGGCGGAGAGGGTGGGGGGTATGAGTTCAGTCTATGGCACTTTCACCCGCTTTGCCAAGAGCCTCTTTTCTGGTGGCTCCAGTGTCAACGCCGGGGGTGGCATTGGTGGTGGCGAGGGCGAGAGTGCTGGTGGTGCCGCTGCAAGTGGCTATGAATCGCAGGAAGACAGAGGAGAGAGGGACGGGTGTGTTCCTGCTGCTGCTGCTGCTGCATCCACAGGGGCTGATGTTGCTACAGCCACTGCTGATATTGCTGCTACTGCTGCTACTACTGCTGCTGCTACTGCTGCTACTGCTGCTGCTATTACTGCTACTACTGCTGAAGTTGTTGCTGTTGCTGACGAGGAGACGCAGGACGGAGAGGGGTTGGTGCTAGTGCCAGACGAAGAGGAATTGCATAGGGCACAGGAGGAGGACGGGCAGTGGACAGAGGCGTATGACACCCAGGAGACACATGGAGCTGAAGTGCAGGAGACGTCTGTTGAGAAGCTGACTTCTGAGTTGACTCAAAAGTCAGAGGGGGTGGCGCTCGGGGAAGAGGAGGCGGAATTGCTGAGGACACAGGAGGAAAAGGACGTGCAGTGGACAGAGGCGTATGACACCCAGGAGACACATGGAGCTGAAGTGCAGGAATTGTGTGTTGAGAAATCCCAAGAAACGGCTGCAGCAACAGGGCATCGTAACGCATCGCCTGCAGCAACAGAGCATTCTCACGAATCGCCTGCAGCAACCCAGGAGAGAGATGGCGTTGAAGCCCAGGAGATGGAGGAGGAGGAGGAAGGGCATGAGGAGCAGGCAGAGGAGGTGAACGAAGCAGACACAGAACAAGGGGATGAGGTGGGCTCAGAGGAAGCGGAGGTGGTGGTTGTTGTGGGAGGGGTGAATGGGGCTCAAGAGATAGCTGAGGGGGAGCGGGAGAAGGAGAAGGAGAAGGAGGAGGAGGGAGTGGAGGCGGATGAGGAAGGGGAGAGGTTGTTGGTGGGCCGTGAGCCTGGGGTGGATTCGGGAGGAGGAGGAGGAGGAGGAGGAGGAGGAGGAGGAGGAGGAGGAGGAGGAGGAGGAGGAGGAGGAGGAGGAGGAGGAGGAGGAGGAGGAGGAGGAGGAGGAGGAGGAGGGGGGGGAGGGGAGAGAAGTGCAGGTGAGGAGGAGGAGGCAGAGTTAGTGGTGGAAGTGGGGGGGACGGGAGGGGGAGTGAGAATGGATGTGGAGGAGATGGGAGGTGGGGCAACAGGGGTGGTGGGTGGGGAGGAACAAGAGGTAGCCAGAGTAGCAGTTGAGGGGGAATGGGTGAGAGAGCAGGTAGGAGTAATTGGGAAGAGGCGGAGTGAAGAGAAGGGCGCAGGGGAGGACAGGCAGACAGCACAGACAGGCTTGGCTGTCCTTGGTCGTGGCAGTGGCAGTGCACGTGGCGGCGAGGGGAGATCTTTTGAGGTACGTGAGAAGCAGGGGACCATGGCTGGTGCTGACAGTGCTGCTCGTGCTGGGAGTGAGACGCAGGACGAGGCGGTGGCTCCTGAAGAAGGGACGGAATCAAAGGGGGGAGAGGAAGCGCAAGGAGTGCAAGAATCTGAGGGGCGAGGGTTAAGGGGAGGGGAGAACAAAGGAGCAGGAGAGGTTGGAGCGAGGGAGGCAGGAGAACGAGCGTCAGCTGCGAAAGGTCCAGCGGCTGTACTACTCAGCAAGCAGATCTCAGGCTTTGACATGTCAGCAAGCGTGGCAGTGGATGTGCCGGGAGTAACCGCTGCCACTGCTGACACGATAGCTGAGGCGCTAGCTTCCAAAATGACTGCTGAGGTGGCGGCAGCCATTGCTGCAGGGCTCAGTGGGGCCAACAAAAGGCCAGGTTCTGCCGGCCAGGATCAGAGCAGCGCGAAGGAAAAGGACGGGAGACGCAGTCCGGTGGAGGATGGGAGGATTTTCGCCAAGGATGGAGATGTGCTCTTCAGATCGTCTCGATTCGCAGTAATGGCGGGATTGGGTGAGGGTTCAGAAGAGGAAGAGCTCGAGTTTCGAGTGGAGGTGGTTGGGAGGAGGAGGAAGAGCACTGGGAGCCCTGCTAACACACCCACGACAACTCTGAGGGAAGGCAGGGGGCATGTCAGGAATGATGATGCTGAGGAGGGTGGTTTGCAGGAAAGGCCGCAGGTTGCAAGCGAGGGAAGAAAACGAGCCCGTGGGCTGAAGCATGAACGGAGGAGTGGGCGCGAGGAAGAGAAGATTGAGAGGCTACTGTTAGGTGAACCAGTGTCAGGAGGAGGTGGCGCCATGGATCCTCCCCGAGCCTCCACTGGTGGAAAGCCAGCTAGAGTCTCTGTGTTTGCTTTTAATGAGGGTGTGGGTGGTCCTAGCGCTGGTGTTCTGCCGGTCACTCCAAATGCTCCAATTGCCAGCGCCACTCCTGCTGACACACCTACGACAACTCCAAGGGAAGGCAGGGGCCAGGCAGGGAATGATGCTGAGGAGGGTGATTTGGAAGGAAGACCGCAGGTTGCTAATGAGGGGAGAAAACGAGCTCGTGGGCTGAAGCATGGAGGGAGGAATCGGCACGAGGAAGAGAAGATTGAGGGGCCACTGTTAGGTGAACCAGTGTCAGGAGGAGGTGGCGCCATGGACCCTCCCAGAACCTCCACTGGTGGAAAGCCAGCTAGAGTCTCTGTGCTGGCTGGTGGTGAGGGTGCAGGTGGTTCCAGTGCTGGTGTTTCGCCGGTCACTCCAAATGCTCCAGTTGCCAGCGCTGCTCCTGCTTCTGCGCCGCCTCCAATCAGGAAGAAGTGGTGGCAGCATTTGTACGAATCACTTGATGGCCGAGAAACGGGCAGGCAGGATAGCACAGGAGCGGTGTCTCGGACGAATGATGCTGCAGAGATCGATCCATCGTGGGACCTTCTGGATGTATTGATGAATGCAGGGGTATCCCTACCACTGCCAGCGCGAAGGAATCAGCACCGCACACAGTTTTGATTTCTGTTTTTGCACTTCTAGTTCTCTTGTTTAATATGGTTGTATATATGTTTCGTCTTGGTGGATCCATTGAGCTTGTAACGGCTTAGTCTCATGTCAAGTCGGGATGTTGGCGTGTCCCTGTCACCCATTTTGTCAGCTCGGACGCGGCAGGCTCCCAAGGATGATTGTGGTGGGAATCGAAGGGTGACCGGGTGAAATATACATAAAACAGGGCTATATGAAAATATATATTTTAAGCCCGACTTGGGTTTTTCTCACCAGACCCGAGCTACACGGAGTAGAGTTCTCATTCACAAAAATCGGTCTGGATGTCATCAAAATTAGCTATTGCCCCAATAGCTCGACCTGTGTTGGCTGAAAAGCTCGGGCTGACGGTTTTGCACAGCATCTGCTCTTTTGATGTCATCTCTGAATGATGATTTTTTTTCCAACTCAGTGCGCTAAACTCTCAACGAGGCTTGGCGTTTTCCGACTGCAAGTGTGCGATGTGCTCCATCTACACGAACGAATTTGGACGTTTTCTTTGGTGTCGGCGACAAGATACCTGTCACTCTGTTTTGTTTTGCTTGCCCTCATTGCTCCGTCGGTTTCGCAATGGCCATGGCTGCTCGCAGCCTTCTTGGATTCGCGGAGGAGGCAGTATGGTTGCATGCAACAGCATCAGGCTGGCTGCTAGGAAACAAGTGGTCGCACTTCCACTGTCCAGCCTTATCATCCCGGTATATGGTGTGAACCGTCGATAAGATTGGGGTCAGGCGTTACGTACCGTACGATCAGACCTTGGTTTCTTCAGTAAATTCCCTGGTTGGCCATCGTCGGCCAAGCCAAAATCCCATTCACAGGAAACTCCAACCCCGCTTTTCATCGCTGTGGCAAAACAGTTCTCCGCAACGCAGCTTTCCGCAACACAAAGCTTCCGCGCAATCGGTATCCCCATGCGCGAAATGAGCACCCATTTCCGCGCCACCCCGAATCCGTCCCTCGCAAAATTCCGAAGAGAAGAGCATCGAGATCTTGACCTCCCCCGACGCTGTAAAAAAACCTTCGTTTGTGCGTCGCCATTGGTTGTCACGATCCTTCACTTGACCGTAAGGAAAGGGGCAGAAACACCAACGCCTTGGGGTTCTCAAGAACTCCTTCAGACGCGCACTCTTCACTTCGTCGTGATGAAACCCTCGGCGCAAGGTAGCCAGGCGGCGCTTGGGCAGCCCCTCGGGGTCATCCATCGCGTGCGGTGAAATCAAAAGCCATTGCGCCGCAGCGGGAGGGCGGGCTAGAGAAGCAGCCAAAAGGCTTTGAGGCTGGTCGAGGAGAGCCAGAGTTCGTCTGTCCTGTCCTGTCTTTCTCCTGTCTTTAACTCCTGGCTTCTTCCTGTGCTGTTTTCTCGTTCTTGTCGTCGTCCTTGGGCCCACCCCTTGCCTGTTGGTACCAATTGCTGTTTGCGCTAGTATCCGATTCCAGCTAGAGATAAGCCAATTTGCTGTTCGGCCTTCTTTGTTCAAACTTGACAAGCTGGACAAAGTGGCTTCCACCCATCCATTGATATTTGGTACGCCCTTTCGTGGGGAGCTCATACCCCTGTCGTATCCAGGTTCATAGTTATGTCCATAGTTGGCTTTTATCATTCCACAATGCCTTTCAAAGCACCATAACGTGTTGCTGATTTGCTGTTGTCTTCCTGCGCTTTTCGGCCGTCCCCATTGTACATACTAGTAGACTCGAGCTTTGTGTCTGCTTCTCGCATTGATGATTCGCGATGCTGTTCTTGATCTAATTTCCCTTATCATATATCCTGTTTTATTTCTTCTACCGTGTCCATTGCCTGTGTCCAGATCTGGAGTTCCGCCGAAAGAAGTCCCGCAACACCGCTGACACTACCAACCTTCTCCAATCTAAGCTATCGTCTTGAACAATTAAGGCTCAATGTCGCTTCCTCCGAAGGCGCTGACGATTCAGCTCCCACCGAACCAATTTGAGGACGATGCGGGAGGCGGCAGTTCGTCTGATGGCAGCGGCGCAGACGGCGTTGCGAAGAAGGAAGAGGAGACCCAGAACACGGGCACGCCCAGTGGTTCATTGAAGCGGAAGCGCAACCTTCCTGGAAACCCAGGTACGACATTTGACGCGTAACGATCTACAGAAGCAATGGTTCGTTTCTTTTTCTTTTTCTTTTGTTCGAATGTGCTGAAGCTGAGTCTGCTTTGACGTGTCTCTTAACGCTTCCGATGGACCCGTTTCTTACCGCTGTTTCTCACTTCTGCCCCCTCTTCGCATTTCTCTTCTCTGTTCTCTAATCCCTCCCGTTGTTCTTTTGCTTATTTTCAGATCCGGACGCGGAAGTTGTGGCCCTGTCCCCCCGAACCCTCCTCGCGACCAACCGGTTCGTGTGCGAGATCTGCAACAAGGGCTTTCAGCGCGACCAGAACCTGCAGCTGCACCGACGCGGCCACAACCTCCCTTGGAAGCTCCGCCAGCGCACCACGCAGGAAGTGCGGAAGAAGGTCTACGTCTGCCCGGAGCCCACCTGCATCCACCACGACCCGTCCCGAGCGCTAGGAGATCTGACCGGGATCAAGAAACATTTTTGCCGCAAGCACGGCGAGAAGAAGTACAAGTGCGAAAAGTGTTCGAAGAAATACGCCGTGCAGTCGGATTGGAAGGCCCACATGAAGACGTGCGGTACTCGCGAGTACCGATGCGATTGCGGAACCCTCTTCTCAAGGTAACGTCCCCGGCCCTTCCCAATACCAACCTTATCTTAACCCTGGTCCCTCCCCCGTTGTCGAATATTTGCGCGTCGGTTTTGTCTTTCTCTGTAAGATACTCCATTTTTTTTTCGACCTCCGCGTCACTTTTTATTTACTGTAACCTTACCGTTTTCTTTCCGTCGTTTTCCTCTCCGCAGGCGCGACAGCTTCATCACTCACAGAGCTTTCTGCGACGCGCTCGCCGACACAGGCCCCACCAGCGTCAAACCCGAGCCCGGCGATTCCGCCGCTACAGGCGCCGGTCCGGGGAGCGTCGGCGGTCTCAGCCACAAAGGAGCGGGGTACGAGGGGGACACGATGCGAGGCGCGGCCGTCATGTTCGGTGATGACGTCACGAAAGCCGCTGCTGCTGGCGCGGCTCATTTGCCAGGTCAACAGCAGAATTTCCAAGGGCAGGGGCTCCAAGCGTCGCAGCAGCAGGGCTCTCAGCAGCAGTTTTCGTCGCAGGAGTTCGCAGACCTGGTCAGCCGAGCCATGAACAAGCAAGGCGGGGGCGGTATGGGGCTGTGGCTCGGCCAGGGATCCAACAACGGAGGGCAGAATCAGGGCATGACGCCGCAGCAACAGATGCTGCAGGCTGTGAGCCAGGGAGGTTTGAACCCGAGCGCTCTTCTTGCAGCGATTAACAATAGTGGCGGTAGCATGGCGAGCCTGCTGGCTGGTGCCGGAGGTGGCTCCCTGGGTGAAGCGGCGGCGCTACTGCTTCAGCAGAATCAGCAGAGTCAGCAGCAGCAGCAGCAGCAACAGCAGTCAGACCAACAGCAGCAGTTATTAATGCAGCAGCAGCAGCAGCAGCAGCAGCAGCAACAACAACAGCACCAACAACAACAACAACAACAACAACAACAACAGCAACAGCAGCAGCAGCAGCAACAGCAGCAGCAGCAGCAACAGCAGCAGCAGCAGCAGCAGCAGCAGCAGCAACAACAGCAGCAACAACAGGAGCCCCAGGATCAGCAGCAAGTGCTACTGCAGGCGCTTCGCAACATGGGAGGATCCAACCAGCTCCTGGCGAACCTTGACCTCTCTAAAGTCTCCAGTCTTCTCTCTTCCCTGGGCGGCGGAGCTGGCGGCAAAGACATCGGCTCCTTAATCTCCTCGCTTCTCGGTTCCAACGGCAGCATGGCTCCTGGGGGTAATCTGGACCCAGGCTACGCGTCTAACGCTGGTGGTGGAGGCGACATGAACAGTAACGTTTATGGTGGTGGTGGTGGTAACCAGGGTAACCTCTCGGGGTCTGCAGGGGGTCTGTCTGGAGTGGGCATGGGGGGAGACCCCTACAATTCCAGTGGCGCTGGTCTGACCGGCTCTGCCTCGGGCGATGGTGATGGCCTAGGGCACGGCGCGCAGCAGGACGGGCTGCAAGGTCTCTCGGGTGTGAACCTCCCGGATCTGCTGCAGCAAGCAGGCGCTGTGCTCGCCCGGTCTGGAGGCTTGGGTAACCTGGGAGGTGCGGGCGGTGCGGGGTCGTCGCTTCTGACGAGGGCCATAGAAACTTTGGCGAGTCAGGGATTGCCGCTTGGCGGAGGGCAGAACTCCGGGCTTCTGGACGCTGTTGCTGGCCTGGGCGGAGGGCAGGGCAATTTCGGTGCGCTGGCAGGGTCGTTGCAGCAGCACGACCATGGGAATAATGGTGGGGGTGGGGGAATGATGGGAGGGCAGCAGCAGCAACAGCAGAAACAGCAGCAGCAGCAGCAGCAGCAGCAGCAGCAGCAGCAGCAGCAGCAGCAGCAACAACAACAGCAGCAGCAGCAGCAGCAGCAGCAGCAGCAGCAGCAGCAGCAGCAGCAGCAGCAGCAACTGCAACAGCTGCAGATTCCAAATGATTTGATTCAGAGATTGGCGGATAAGTTACCTCCCGGTCTGAACATGGACGCACTGCAGTCCGCTCTCAGCGTGTACCCTGAGCTTGGAGCAAACGGCGCTCTGTCTTCCGCGCTCAACACCCTGCTCTCAGGAGGAGGCGGTTTTAACACAGCGCCACAACAGCAACAGCAAGTGGGGATGGTTGGAGGGGAAAATGCAGATGGTTGGGGTGGGGGTGGCATGGGTGGGGGCAATGGTGGTGGGCTGGAGCAGGGAATTCAAGACATCTTCTCTTCTGGAGCAGGCCAGAACTCTGCGATGGCTGCGATGCTGTCTGCTAGCAATGGAGATTTGGCAGGTGGACTGGCAGGTGCTTTTGGAGGGGATGGCAGCGGGGGGTTGCTCGGTGCTGGTGGTGACATGCCTTCAGCTTTGCAGAATATGCTCATGGCCAGGCAGCAACAGCAACAGCAGCAGTTCAAGCAGCAGCAGCAGCAACCACAGCTGCAGCAGCAACCACAGCTGCAGCAGCAACAGCAGCTCCTGCAGAGTGCAGGTCTTAACACTGACTCGCTGACTGCTGCTTTGCAAAGGGCGCAGCAAGGCGGCCATGATCTTGGAGCCTTTGGTACCGTGACGAGGGATTTTTTAGGTCTTGCTCGCTCCGTGTCAGCGTCTAGAAATGTGACGGAGCTGCAAGACCTTGCAGCTTTTGGTGCGACAGCAATGAATGAAGGTGCGACTGGCTAGATTTATAGTTATTACTTAGCATGAATGACTCTGTATGGTGCATTTTTATTCTAGTGTCAATGCATATCAATAGTGCAGTGTTTTAGAAGAGGGATTTTTTTTATGAAAAGAATGTTTTGTAATGAACGCAGCCCAACCAGCGTCGCACATTCGTGCGTGCAGCAGATTGAGCGGCTTGGAATACCGTCCGCGATAGGTCGCTCGCTTGCGACAAACTTCCACGGCATATTCGCCGTGCGCTGTGCACGGGCGGAGGACCAAACCGATGGGTCAGGTCAGGTCGGGACTCGGGGGGCCCGGTCATAGGAGGACCTTGGCAGAAGCTAGTGGTGCACATTTTCTGCGCGCAACAGAAGCGAGGGGCACAGGCGCGGGGCAGTTTTGCGCGCCGAGCTGGCGGAAATGGAGGTTGTTTTTGGCGCCAACCAACCTTGAGGCTCGAGGTTCACTCTTCCGCTACCTTGATTTCGTCCTTCCGCCACCAGCCCAACGCTTGGGGTGATGATTTGGTGGGAGGGGTGGCGAGGCGAGGAACGAGGCTTGGGGGGAAAAGCTGAGACATGTGTTCCCTTCTGAGACTTGTGGGACTGACTGCCTGCCTGCCAAGCAAGCGAAAGCTCAGAATGGAGGAGCAGGCAGTATCAGAGAGTAAAGCTTTTCGCCGAGTGATTAGTTGTGGTTTTTTGGCTGCCAGCTGCATAAGAGGAATGCCTGGCTAATCGGTTCGTGTTTGCGACTCCTGTTTGACCTGTTGTATTACGGACCGTACACGCTGACGGACGTCAAGCGAGCTCCTTTAAACACGGTCGCCTCTTACTGAGACTCTCGTATAGCTCGTCGCCATGTCTACCTCATATCGAAAGTAAACTTCGGAAAGTTTCTGGGCTCTTCTGGCGCTAGCTTTCGCTCTCGTCGATTTAAGGAGTAACGTTGTGGTAAAGAATACATTACATTTATATTAGCCTTTAACCAGCCCATATCGTACGTTCTCGACTTAATTGCTCAGCGCAGCTCACTGTCAACGACAATGGGAGACACGCTAGGAGCTATAGTCGAGTACTTAGAACGGAATAAGTTTCTCTCAGCGGCAGCAGCCCTACGTTCCGAAATCTCCAACAAGAAGCAGCCGAGACCCAACACTCTTGCCTCGAGCCACTCGCTTCCACCGCTCTCTCCGTTCTCTCCCTACCCAGGCTCCCCCTCCCTCCCGCCTCCCGATGCCTCCGATAATGACGTTAACATGTTCCTCTGGATGAAGCACGAACAGATGTTCTCCAACTCATCCTCGACACCAGGTTCGGGATCAGGTTCGGGCTCAGGCTCGGCAGGCGGAGGTATATTTGGCTCGGCATTCTCCGGTTCGGGGCTCTCGGGGCCGGCGGATGGTGCCGGCGGAGATGCCGGCGGGAGCGGGACTGGCGGCGGGTTCTCCGGGTTCCACCCGATCGCGCGAGGCAACAGCGCGCCGCCGCAGTTTCTTCAAAACGCCATGCTGAAATGGTCTCCGCCCAGCTCCCCCCCCGCCGGAGGTATGTTCGACCCCGCGCCAGCCGCGGAGGCCCCTAAGCCGCCGCGCGCGGGGGGAAGCGAGCACCCGTTCTCCCCGTCGTTCTTCCCCACGTCCCCGTCGCTGCCCTCACCCGCGTCGCTCGACGTCGTTCCCGAGGAGGACGTCTTTCTGGGCGGCGAGGACGCGGACTCTGCGACGGCGAAAGCGGAGGCGGCCGAGGCGGAGAAGGCGGGCGGAGGAACGAGAGCTGGTAGGACTAACGGAGAGGGTAATAACGAGGATAATGCGAGCAATGCGGCGGCTTCTGCTACTGCGGTTATTCCGCTGCTTGACGATGGTGATGCTGTGTTCTTCGGCACGCCGGCGAAGCAGCCGCCAGTCCCGCTGCCAATTGAAGAGCCTGTTCTATTCGGCGAAGTGACTACAACGGACCCTTTCCGCGGCTCCCTAGAAGCCGCTGCGGCAGCCGCGGCCGCCGCAGCCGCCGCCGCAACAGGCGGCGGGAAAGGCGCATTAGGTGTCTTGGACGCGGAAATGCCGCCTAGAATAGGGTCGACGCCGCGCAGCAATAGCTCCCGGCCGTACGATGTTAACAGCAGTGGCGGAGACGAGACTCCGCCGGGCGGAATGGCGAAGAGCAGCAGGACCTTCGCGGGGGACATCGAAGGGGGAGGATTCGGGGAAGAGTTGGACTTTTCCTGCGGGCTTGGCGGGGTCGGGGGGGCCGGGGAAGGCGGGAGGGGCGGGGGGAGCGGGGGGGAGGATGCAAGCGCAGGCGGAGACGCTTCCCCCGGGCTGTTTGACCAGGCGTTTGCGACCTCGAGCAATAACAGCACACCGCGCGGGTCGGTAGATATGACTGGTAGTGCGGAAGTGTTTTCTGTTGGCGATGGGGGGGGAGGAAGTGACACGTTAGGGCCCCGCCATGGGAGTACCGGGCATGGGAGTGCGGGCCACGGCGCATCACCACCAATGGGGGGAGCGGGAGGAGTGGGGGGAGGCGCAGGGGCAGGAGGAGCAGGGGGCGGAGGGGCGGGAGGCGCTGCTTCGGTGCTGGCTGGGTGGGGGTTACTGTCAGCGGAGGGCAGTGGGTCATTCGCCGCAACTGGCGCTTTAAAGAGCCCTAACTCGTTCGGAGGGACCTCCCACGCTGCTAACCCTGCTGAAGCTGCCAAGCCTCTCGTTCGGGCTTCCTCCGTGCCTACCATCACGTTCGGACCAGTTGTTGTAGGTTCGGAGGTGGTTCCGAGCCTGAACCCCGTCCCACTGGGGACGCGCAAGCCTCGCCCGCCAATCAGCCACGCGTCCCTGCCGTCTAACCAGCAGCAGCCCCCGCTGCCGAGCCTGCAGCGCTCGCCCGGTAGCGGAAGCTCGGGCGGAGGTTCGGAGAAGAGGTTCGGCATGGGGAGGCACGGCATGAGCGGACTGAGCAGGGGGAGCCCCCCCGCAAAAGCAGGAAGGGAGGCGGGAAAAGGGGGAGTGTATGTTGTGGGTGGGTATTTGCTGTCTACTCTTCTAATGATTAAAGGATCGGATGATAACGAGGATATGTATGAGGACGAGGAGGACTTGGGGTATGTGAGGCGTGCGGTGGGGAACGAGGAGCAGTTTATGCTTATAGAGGCGGACCCGGGGGATGATCCCGAGGACGCGGAGGAGGGGGAGGGCGCGACGGGCGGAAAGGGGGAAGGTGAGGGGAAAGCTGGTGGGTGGAAGGGGGAGCAGGAGAGCGCGGGTGGGGGCGGGGAAGGGAAGGGGAGCAAGGGGAATGAAGCGGGGAAGAGTGGGAAAGAGGGGAAGCGGGATTCGGAAGGGGGGGATGAGGAGATGTATTTTTCGGGGGAAGACTCTTATCAAGAAGCGGAAGGGGGGGAGGAAGGGGCGGAGGGCGGCGGGGGAAGCGAGGCGGAAGGCGCTGCGGGGGGGAAAGGGCACCGATCGGTTCCGAGCTTCGGAGTGGTGGACGCGTGGGATGGGATGTTCGACAAAAGCGGGGTGGAGGGGACGAAGGGCGCGCGGAACGGGGGAGGAGCGGAAGGGAGGGGCGCAGGCGCAGGGGCGCGGCAGAAGCGGCAGGGCGGAAAGGGGCATCTGAGCGGGCAGCTAGAGGAGGGGGAAGAGGGGGAAGGGGACGAGGACGAGGGGGAGGATGGGGAGGACGGGGAGGAGGGGGAGTTTTACGAGGGGCAGTCTGTGGGCGCAGATGCGGGGAGCTCTATGCTGGGCTCCGTGCAGGACCTGGATGAAGACTGCGCGCACCCCACCCCCACCGGCTCCCGCCCCCGCCTTGGCGTTCTCAGTGACGAGGAGGCGGAGGGGGAGGCGGAGGAGGGGGAGGATGGGCTGGGCAAGGGGATGAGGGAGAGGGCGGAGGGAGCGGGGAAAACGGAGGGCGGGGGAAGGGGGGGTGGGAGCAGGGAGGCAGGTGGGGCGGATGGGGTGGAGATAGAGATGGGGGACGGCGGGGGCGCGGGTGCGGGGGAGAAGGAGGGCGCGGAGGGTCCGCGGAAGCGGCGGAGCTGGAAGGGCGGAGACGTGGGGAGTGCGTCGTTTGGGGTGGTGGACGAGGTGACAGGCGCGAGGGGCACGGGCATGGGCGCAGGTGCAGGTGCGGGCGCAGGGCTGTTTGTGTCCACCGCAGTAGCAGCAGCAGCAGGTCAGGGCGGTGCTTCTGGGGCCGCCAGTGCCGCTGCTGATGCTGCTGGTGGGGGCAGCGGCGGGTTTGGCGATTCCTTCTCAGGCGGATTCTCCTTCCCGTCGCCGTCCAGTGACGGGCTCTCCCGGGAGGGCTCTGGGTGGTCGGGAGGCGGGGGGACTCCTGGGGGAGACGCGGTGAATATCAGCCCTTCAGATACTCTGGGCGGAGGGGGGAGCGGAGCGGGGCGAGGGGGAGCGGGAGGGGGCGCGGGGGAAGCGGGGCTGGCGGACGAGCTGGCGAGTGGGCTGGAGCGGATGGGGAGCGTGGCGGATAGTACCCTGGAGGTGTGGAAAAGGCAGGCTAGTGGCACATTCGCTAAAGTCACTGCCATGGACTGGGATCCCCCTGCTGCTGCTGCTGCTGCTGGTGTTGCTGCCACTGGGGGTGCTGCTGCGGGTGGTGCTGGCGCGGGTGGGGAGGAGAAGAGGGCGAAGAGTGGGGGGACGAAGGAGGAAGGGGATACGGAGGCAGGCGACGGGGGCGGTGATGACATGCAAACGGATGGGGATATGGCTGTGAAAGGGAGTGGGGGGAGCAAGAAGGGGAAGGGGAAGGGGACGAAGGGGGAGCAGGAGGGGAAGGATGGGGCGGGAAAGAAGGGGGATGAGGGCGAGGAGGAAGCGGGGGAGAAGGGGGAAGGTGAGGTGGAGGGGACGAAGAAGGGCGCGGAGGGGGAGGAGAAGGCGGGAGGGGGCGGGGAGGAGAAGGCGGGAGGGGGTGGGGAGGAGAAGGCGGGAGGGGGCGGGGAGGAGAAGGTGGGAGGGGGCGGGGAGGAGAAGGAGGAGTTTGAGATCTTCAACCTGCGTGTCATTCACCGCAAGAACAGGTGCGTGCGAATGGGGTGGCCACAGATGAGTGCTTGGGTCGCGGGTGGTTGGGAGGTGTGGTTTGGGAAATAAGGAGTTATTTCACCCTCCTACCCCCCCTCTTCAACATCTCTCCTCTCCGTCTCTCCTTCCATGGCTCCCCTCAAGCCTCACAACACACAGATGGGCTCAGCAGCCGTCAACGCCATGCATACCAAGCGCATGGAGACCAAACGCTCTTCCCCTTCCTTGTGTGTCCCACACATCTCCACTAGAACGGGGTTCGAAGAAGAAAAGGACTTACCAGTGGTGCTCAACTCGGTCCGGGCGCTACTATGTGACAGAGATCCTGGGATCTGCAGCCTTCAGCAAAGCATTTTAGGCGCATAGAGACCAATTGCCCATTCTCCTCCATTGCACCCCGCTTACAACTCCCCACCAGAACGGGATTCGAGGAGGAGAAGGACTTCCCAGTGGTCTTGAACTCGGTGATAGCGGGGCGGTACTACGTGACAGAGTACCTGGGGTCAGCGGCGTTCAGCAAGGCGATCCAGGCGCACGATCTGCACACGGGCATGGACGTGTGCATGAAGATCATAAAGAACAACAAAGACTTCTTCGACCAGAGCCTGGACGAGATCAAGCTGCTGAAGTTCATTAACCGGCACGACCCCGCAGACGAGCATCATTTGTTGCGGCTCTACGACTACTTCTACCACCGGGTGAGTGCGGGAGGGAGGGTAGGATGGAGGGAGCGAGCGCGGGGGTGAGGGAGTGAGTGAGAGAGTGAGTGAGCGAGCAAGTGAGTGAGTGAGTGGGTGTGTGAGTGAGCAAGTGAGTCTGAAGATCATAAAGAACAACAAGGCTTCTTCGATCAGAGTCTGGATGAGATCAAGCTGCTCAAGTTTATCAACCGGCACGACCCCGCGGACAAGCAACACCTGCTGCGGCTGTACGACTACTTCTACCGTAGGTTGCGTGCGTGGGTGAATGGGTGAGCGAGTGAGCGCGCGGGTGGGTGGGTGCATGGGGTCGGTGAGTTGGTGAGTGAGTGGGTGAGTGTGTGGGTGAGTGGTTGCGTGTGTGTGCATGCCTTAGGAGGTACGACTCCGCGGACGAGCACCACCTGCTGCAGCACTACGAAAACTTCTAACATCAGGTGGGTGTTTGTGCTGGAGTTGATTTTGCGAATTTTCAGAGACGATTTGAACAAAGTTGTTTCCAAACAACTTGAACATTGTTTGGCCCACATTGACCCGTTGACTAAGCCTTTTCACTGTGGCTTCTCCCTCCCTCCCCCTCGTTCCATCATGAGGAGCATCTGTTCATCATGTGCGAGCTGCTGCACGCCAACCTGTACAAGTTCCACTCTCAACCCCCATTGGTTGTCCTCTCCTCCCCCTTTCTCCCTGCCCCTCCCCCCCTTCACCCCACCCCCCACTCTCCCAACCATCAGGAGCACCTGTTCATCATATGTGAGCTACTGCGCGCCAACCTGTACGAGTTCCACAAGTACAACCGCGAGTCGGGCGGCGAGGCCTACTTCAACATGCCTCGCATCCAGGTGCGCACGTCAGCGCATCCAGGTGTGCCACGTCAGCACATACCTAGAGGCCATACTCACAAGCACTCGCTGGGGCTCATTCACTGCGACCTCAAGTCCGAAAGCATCCTCATTAAGAGTTGATCGCGCTGCTCCTGCCCCACTTTCCACCCCCACCCCTTCATTGCTCCCCTTCCACACCCCTCTCGTTCCCCCACTCCCTCTTTCTCCCGCTGCATGCACCAGTCCATTGCCAAGCAGATCCTGCAGGCTCTGCGCTTCATGCACTCGCTCGGCCTCATCCACTGCGACTTAAAGCCCGAGAACATCCTCATTAAGAGCTACTCGCGCTGCCTCGTTAAAGTGATCGACATCGGCAGCAGCTGCTTCACAACGGACCACCTGTGCTCGTACGTGCAGTCGCGCTCGTACCGCGCACCAGAAGTTATTCTCGGGCTGCCCTACGGGCCCAAGATCGACATCTGGTCCCTCGGCTGCATCCTTGCTGAACTCTGCTCCGGACAGGTGAGAGGGGGGATGGAGAGGAAGGGGGGAGAAAAGGGGAACTGGATGGGGAGAGATGGTGGGGGGAGAGAGCAGGAAGGGGAGGTTGGGGAGGTTGGGGAGGTTGGGGGGACGTTGGGGAAGCAGGTGGGTCAGCACAGGGAAGCATGCTTGTACCGCTAGCCTCCTGCTTTCTAACGTACAGGGGACCGTATTTGTATGGGTGCGGCCCTTTATCCCTCTTGTTTTCCGATTGTTTGGCTGTAATTCTTCCCCTGTGCTGCGTGTGTGCATGCATGTGTGTGCGAGCAGGTGCTGTTTCAGAACGACTCGCTGGCGACGCTGCTGGCGCGGGTGGTGGGCATCATCGGTCCCATCGACCCGCGTCTGCTGCGCAAGGCCCGCGACCGCCACAAGTACTTTACCAAACGCAACGTGCTCTATGAACGCAACCCGGTCAGTTTGAGTGCGGTGCAGTGCAGTAGTGGTATGGGTGCAGTGCGGTGCAGTGCAGTAGTGGTATGGGTGCAGTGCGGTGCAGTGCAGTAGTGGTATGGGTGCAGTGCGGTGCAGTGCAGTAGTGGTATGGGTGCAGTGCGGTGCAGTGCAGTAGTGGTATGGGTGCAGTGCGGTGCAGTGTATGATTGCATGCTTGCATGCTGCATGCCGCTGTGCTGTGCGCTGCAAGGCCACGGGGAACACCACAACCACTTCACCAAACGCACCGTGTTCCATGAATGCAACCCGGTCACTGTGCGATAAGGTGTGGTGCTGTGCGGTGCAGTGTGGTGGGGTGCAGCCTGTCAGATCCTGTGGTATGGTGTGGTTTGGGGTGCTGTGTGGTGCTATGTGATGCTGTGCTGCATCATACTTCATAATCTGAGTCTGCAAGGCCAGGAACAAACAAACTAGTTCACCATCCCTATTCCCCCCCCAGCAGCAGCGCGGCCCTTCCCCTACCATAGTCTCCCTCCCTTTCACTTTCCTTCACCCCTTTCCCCTTTTGAACCTCCACAAGAGACGGAGCAGATGGAGTGTCTGGTTCCCAGATGTCCTTTCCTCCCTGCAGCACCGCCTGCAGCACTGCCAGCAGCTGGGCAAGTTGGCCCTGATGGTCCCTACCATAACCTTGCATGTCGCCTCTTTCACCCATCCCCCTTTCTCCCTCCTCCACAGGAGGCGGAGCAGTATCTGGTGCCAAAGAAGTCCTCTCTGCAGCACAGCCTGCAGCAGGGCGGCGAGGTGGCTCTGATTGCCCCTACCATAAAATCCCCTCTCTTCAATTCCCGTTTCCCTCACCATCCCCCTCCCCACCATCCTCCACATGAGACGGAGCAGCTGGAGTACCTGGTGCCCAAGAAGACATCTCTGCAGCACCGGCTGCAGCAGGGCAAGTGACTCTGGTGGCCCCTACCATAACATGTCTTCTTTTCATTTCCCTCTTCTCCCTTCTCCCCCCTTTCCTCTCCACAGGAGACGGAGCAGCTGGAGTACCTGGTGCCCAAGAAGATCTCGCTGCAGCACCGACTGCAGAGGGGTGAGGCAACCCTGATGGTCCCTGCCGTTAACCTCCCCCTTCCCCTCTCCCCCCTTTCCTCTCCACAGGAGACGGAGCAGCTGGAGTACCTGGGGCCCAAGAAGATCTCGCTGCAGCACCGACTGCAGAGGGGTGAGGCAACCCTGATGGTCCCTGCCGTTAACCTCCCCCTTCCCCTCTCCCCCCTTTCCTCTCCACAGGAGACGGAGCAGCTGGAGTATCTGGTGCCCAAGAAGACCTCGCTGCAGCACCGACTGCAGCAGGGGGATGCGGGGTTTGTGCAGTTTGTGGCGTCGCTGCTCCAGGTGGACCCGGACAAACGCCCCACTGCCGCCCAGGCGCTCGAACACCCATGGCTCTCCCACCCCTATGACCCCATCACATGACCGTACCACCCGCGTAACGACCCCATCGCATGACTGTCACCATAGCACTGCGACTAAAGCCATGTGGTAACTGTAACCATGACATGTTTTTTTCTCGAAAAGCTCACATGTAGTGTGATGGTGGTGACATAACTTGATGCCATGTGTAGTTGGTGCTCCATTGTCCGGTTGCTAGAGGGTGACAGCAAAGCGAGTGTGAGCCTTTAGATCAGATGTTTCAGAATGCGACTGGGAGGTTACCCAACCCTTGCAGGCCTGACTGCATGCCAGACAGAAAGCTAGCTCTTCTTTGTTCTGCTCTGCTGATTGTGGTCCTGTTTCCCAGGGGCCCGAATCTTGCCTTAGTGTGAGCATTACTATTCTATATATCAATCCCAAGAACTTGTGTGAAAACTACAGCTATTGTTAAGTACAATGTACACCTGCATAACATTCTCATAAAAAATGGGTAAATCCTTTGTGGTAGGAAGGAACAGCCTACACAAAGGCAACATGCCATGATGATCCTAGGGGCATGGGGTTTTGAATCTAAGCAATCTAGAGGAACTAGAATGTGAAGAATAGAAACAGCATATCCATCCATGCTGGCAAATCAAGTACGCTAATTTGCAAAACAAGTTGGACCATTGCACATCAACATGCAGCGGATTCTATCGGAGCAGCCTCTACCAAAACACCTAAACAATGAATGAACACCACGGGCATGGGAGATTTTATAGTAGACTACAAAATCGTCTCAGCACACAAGCGGCCGCGACAATGAATGAATGAACGCCAAGGGCATGAGCGTGCTTGGAGAGAGCACCATGGTGCAAAACAAGTCGGACTTGCCAGCTCATGTGCAGCTGTGCGAGCACACAGGTCACTTGCAGCAGTGCTGGCGAATCCACGGATGCTCTGCACGGGAGAGGCGAGAGTGAGTAGAGCGGCAGCACAGAGAGGCAAGAGTAAAAAAGGCCAGAGAGGAGGCTTGATATGGTCAGGTGGATGGTAGAGCAACACCCAGCCCAAGCTGAATCTGTTTTTCTGAGAATTCTAAAAAAACAGAATGCCGCTTCAAGCCGATCACCTACCGGACCTCTTATCCACCAGACCTGTCACCCACCCACCACCGGCTCCACCACTCACCAAGCACTTGCAGCGCGGAAATCCTCTTGTCAGGGTCCCTTGTCAGCATCCTCGCCACCAGGTCCCTTGCCGGGCAGGTCTACCACCCACCCACCCATCACCTACCCTGCCACTCATCCACCCATCACCAACTCCACCACTCACTGAGCACATGCGCAGCAGAGATCCTCTTCTCGGGGTCCCTCGTCAGCATCCTCGCCACCAGGTCCCTTGCCTCCCCGGACACCGCCGCCCACCGGAAGTGGCCGAACCGCAGCGGCTGGCGCAGCACGGCATCTTCTGTGGAGCGCCCCTCACGGCGGGACGGCCAGAAGGGGAGCACGCCTGAGAGCATGACGAAGAGCACGACCCCTGCGCTCCACACGTCCACCTGAGGGGAGTAGCGCCCGCCTGAGAGAACCTCTGGAGCCATGTACTCTGTCGTGCCCGCCGTGTGCCCGCACATGCCGTCTGGTGGGTGATGTGGGGTGGGGTGGAGTGGGGTTGGGTTGGGTGGGGTGGAGTTGGGAGTTGGGATTTCCCGCACTCCACACGTCCACCTGAAGGGAGTAATGGACTTCTCAAGGCACCTCTGGTGCCATGTACTCTGTCGTGCCCGCCGTGTGCCTGCGTGGAGTTGGGTGTGTGGTGGGGTTGGGTGTGGAGTTGGGTTGGAGATGGGGTGGGGTGGATACCGGGGTTCAACAGGTGTTGTGGGATGACGGGGCGGCGAGTTGAAGATGCGTGATAGTTTGGATGGGTTGTAGCAGCAAGCGAAGCACGGGTTGCTTGGAAATGGAGGCGTGGGAGAGGAGGCTGAGCAGGGGAGTGGTAGGCATGGAAGTGTGGTAGGAGGGGAAAGTGGCACAAGAGTGGCCTCTGGGCTTACCATGGTCAAGGAAGGCAGCCACCCCAAAGTCAATGAGCTTGATGTGCAGATTGCACTCCCCACCACTAAGAAACGACCCTGCACCACTTCCCACCGCTGCTCCTCCTCCCAACAAATCGCCAACGGCCCCATCACACAACTGACCACCGCTCCCCTTTCCAATTCCTGCACCTGTGCCGCTGCTCCCCATGCTGCCCGTGCCACGAGCGGCAGCGGAGGAAGAGGAAACAAGGAGGATGTTCTCGGGCTTCACATCACGGTGCACGATGCCGGTGGAGTGGCAGTGAAGCAGCGCTCCCACCAGCTGCTGCAGCAGCCGTGCTGCTAGCGGCTCAGGCAGGTGCTTTCGGGCCTTCACTGCGTCGAAGAGATCGCCGCCCGAACAGAGGTCCATGATGAGATGGATGGACTGGGGGAGAGGGGGGAGGGAGGTGCGGGAATTTGAGAGGATGCGATTCAATGGAGAGGATGTGATTCAATGGAGTGGAAATAAGATGCTTTTAGTGAGGGATGAGAGGAATGAGAGGGCATGGGATGCTTGCTTTGCAAATGGTCCGGTGACTCACCTTGGGATCTCCACGCCTCACCTTGGGGTCTTCAAAAACCTCCTTGAGTCCAATGATGTGTGGGTGCCCCTTGAGCATGTGCAGCATCACCACCTCACCTTGGGATCTCCACAAACTGACCTTGGGATTCCCAGCGCACCACCTTGGAATCTCCACTCACTCACTGACCTTGGGATCTCCGCGCCTCACCTTGGAATCTCCACTCACTCACTGACCTTGGGATCTCCGCGCCTCACCTTGGAATCTCCACTCACTCACTGCCCTTGGGATCTCCGCGCCTCACCTTGGAATCTCCACTCACTCACTGACCTTGGGATCTCCGCGCCTTACCTTGGGATCCTCAAGAACCTCCTTGAGTCCAATGATGTGCGGGTGGCCCTTGAGCATGTGCAGCATCACCACCTCCTGCCGCACATCCGCTGCATCCTCCACACACTGCAGCTTCTTCTTGGCAATGGACTTGCACGCGTACGCACGGCGCGAGCAGCGCTCCACACACGTGTAGATGCGGCCGAACATGCCCTCGCCTATGCGCCCCCTCACCACGTGGTACCGCCTCTGTAGCACCTCGTATGGCATTCCCAACACACACTCCCTGAAACTCACATCGCCATCGCCACCACTGTTACCTGCATTGTCACCATCAGCAGCAGCAGCAGCAGCAGGAGCAGCAGCAGCAAAACAACCACCACCAGTGCCACCAGCAGCACCAACACCAGCAGCAACAGCAGCAGCACTAGCAGCGCCAGCAGTAGCAGCAGTCACTCCTTTCGCCAGCCACACCCGCCATTCTTTTTCCGCACCCCCACCCTCCACACCCGCTAACCCCGACCAGCTCCCCCCGCCTCCCCACTCCCCGTCCTCTTCTGCCTCCTCCCCCTCCTCTTCCTCCTCCTCATCCTCCCCCCACTTCCTCCCATTCCTCGCGCCACCAATCCCAAGCCCAGTTCTCTGGGGGGAAAACCCAACGCCTGACCCTAGCCTCCCAAAGCTATCTCCTCTTCCTGCTCCACCCAACGCCTCCTCCTCCCCACGTCCGGAAACATAGTCCAGGGGGCTCGAGCAGGAGATTGACTTGACCCGGCTGATTCTGCTGCTCTTTTGGCCACGTTGACTGCGTTGACTGCCTTGACTGCTCTGGCTGCAGTATTTACTGGAGCGAGCCAGGCCGGTGCGAGGGAGCGGGCTTGACAACGACCCTGCGGATTGGACAGCAGCACCCGCGGCAGAATCAGCAGCACCAACGTCAACGCTCACATGGCTGGCGCCATAACCAGCAAACGTAGCATCCGCGTGAGCATCAGCGTGAGCGTGAGCATGTGCGAGCGCAGTGCGGAAGGCGGTGAGGGTGGAGGCGGAGGAGGAGGAGGAGGAGGCGAGTGAGTGGCGCAGCAGGTGGCATGACGTCAGCAGGGCCTCCACCTCCCTCACCTTCTCACCCTTACCGCCACCGCCCCTGCTTCCCCCGCCACCTTTGCTCCCACCGCCACCACCGCTGCCCTCACCGATGCCGATGCTGCCACTGGTGCTGCTGCTGCTCCTGATCAGCTCCCGCCAATCGCGCCACTGCTGCCCGCCCCTGCTCCACCCCGTGCTCGCATGCATCGCCCTCTGCTCCCAGGCATCCTGACTCTCATTATAGTCACCGCCCCGCTCCTGATACACGCCACCTCTCCTGCTCGCGTTCTCCACGTCCGCAGCCCCTCCCATGGACCTTCGTCGGTGCGCTGACGTGGCATCAAACTCCTGTGCGTGTGATGCGTGTCGCAAGAAGGTGGTCGAATCTCCCACCAATGAGCGCTGCTGCTGTTGCTGCCGTTGCTGCCGTTGCTGCTGTTGCTCCCACTGCTGCAGCCTTGGCTCCTGCGTCGCCTGCTCTCCTCTCACCTCCCTCTCCGGCGCCACACCCACTCTCTCCATGTGCGCGTACATATCCGTCATGCTGCCGCTCACGCGACCACTCAGCCGCCCACCCACCTGAAAAACCACCTGACCGGCCACCTGACCAGTCCTCGCACCACCCACGTCACTGTCAGCGTCACCATGGCACTGCACGTGAGCAGTCGCGGCGTGCCCCTTCCTGCTGCTGCTGCTGCTGCTGCCGCCGCCCAGCGCCACATCAGCAGCGGAGGGGCTGTCCAGCGCGTCGAGGAACGCGAGGGAGAGCTTGAGGGCGTGCCTGTGCTGCGCGGGGGCGGGGGGAGGCGACGGGGGAAGCTCGAGCGCGTGCCTGTGCGCGGCCAGGGCGACCGGCGGTGAGGGGGAGAGCTCGAGGGCTTGCCTAAGCGCTCTGGGGGGAGAGCTGGGGGGTGGACGGCGGAAGGCCCTAGGGGAGTGTGCTGACGCGGGAACGCACGCGCGGAGGGGTTCAGGGGAGGAGAGCAGCGGAATCTCTCTGCTGCGCTCGTCGTCCGCTTCCTCCCCCTCCCCCTTCCTGCCGATGCCACTGCCGCTGCCGCTGCCACCGCGAGTGGTACTGCCGCTGCCGCCCTGCCCGCCCCACCTGCCGCTGCCGCTTTTGAGCAGCTGCCGGCGCTCGCGCGGCGTGAGGAGCGCGGGCGACGCGAGCGACGGCGAGGGGTCCAGGTGGCGGCTGCTCGCCACCTTGAGTAGCCGCCTCCCCCGCTCGCCCCCCCCTTCCGCCGCTGCGTCATGCCCGCTCCCATACACCTGCTGCTGCTGCTGCTGCTGCTGCTGCTGAGAGTGATGATCTGCCGATTCCACCCACACCCCCAGCCCCGCGCTACCCCGCCGCAGCAGCACCCCTGTTCCGCGCGCCTGCCGCCCATTCCGATCCGCCGCCGCACCCGCAGCGTCGCACGCTCCCGCTCCACATATTACCCTCTTGTCAATTCCGCGGGTCCCCAGGACCGTCGGCTCCTCCCCCGCGCCCTGCGGAAGCACGTCGAACGTGCGCGACTTGCGCGGACCGCCCAGGAACCGGTTCTTCCGCGCCTCGCCGCCGCTCTTCGCGCAACGGAAGCCGCCGCCGCCGCCGCTGCCGCTGCCGCGGGGTTCGTTCAGCACGCTCCCGTAACGCGTTTCGCTCTCGCCCCGGCGCTCCGATTCTTCTGAGGCTACTAATGGGTCCTCGCCATGCCCGACCAGCATCACGTCGCTCCCGCGATCGACGGGGAAGTGCGACACGGCGCGGCTGGTGCGAGCCGCTACAGTCTGTGCTAAAGCCGCATCGAAAAGCGGGGGGCAGCCGGGGCCGCTGAGAGCGCCCGGCGGCGAGCTCGCTTGGTCCAGCGGATAGAAACGCGCGAATCGCGCCGCTGCTAATAATTCCGCGGCTGCTATTGATGCTGCCGTCGTCGCCGCCGCTGCCACTGCGACGCGTGGGAATAGGTTTCGCTCCGAAGGAGGAGAGCGCGGAACGGGGAGAATACCCCCTAGCGGAAGCGGACGGCGTGGGGGGGCTCTCCGGAGAAGGCGGTTCCGCGGAGTCGGCCGCCGCCGTAACCACCGCGGCCGGCCGCGAGGCGGAGTCGCGAGGCGGCGTCGGCAATCTCAAGGCGGGTAACAATCCCGAGCCAGAGGATGACGATGCGGAGCCGTGCCGGCGGTGAAAGCGGGGATGGGTGCTGCTTAGCCGTTGGGACGGGGCTGCTTGGGGCGGGGAGGGGGTGGCGGCGGGATGGTGAAAAGAGAACCAGCCCTTCCCCTCGAGTCCTGACGACGACGACGATGCGCGCTTCAGCCGCCGCGCTTCCGCCAATGCCGCTGTGGCGGTGACGACGGCGAACGACGACGCGGCGGAAGCGGGGTCCTGCGCGAGCGGTGGGAGGTGGCGCGTCGAGCGCCGACTGCGCGCGGAGGCGGAAGGAACGCCCGCCGGGGAGGCGGAAGAAAGGATGGGGGGATTGGACGGCCCGCCGGTCCAGCGACAGCTTCCGCCGAGCCGCTCACTCTTCGCAGTCAACGCGGAACTGCCACGTGGCGAGCTCCCGACAGATCTTATCCCCCGTCCATGAGGACTCTGCGGGGCGCTTTGGAAGGGGCTACTAGCCTGGTACGGCTCGAGGGATGGGCTAATTGTTGCTTTTTTAGGACTCCCGAAAAGAAAAGGGCTAAGATCATGGCGCTCGGATGGCGGGCTGGGAGGCGGCGAGGGGAAAACGCAGTGATAGGAGGGGGAGGAGGGGCACGGAGGGGAGGAACTCGTGGCGAATGCGGGGGACAGAGGGTCAGCGGCGGTCGAGCCGAAGCTCTCGTACGACGACCGCGACGCGCCGTCGGTCACGGTGATGTCAATGCTTCTCGAAGGGCGCCGCGGAACGCTGAGCGCATTAGGTTGGTCGAGTAGAAACGGGGGCGTGGAGCGTGACGAGAGGAAGGAGGTAAATTGAGGAGAGCCGGCAGGAGACGAGAGAGACGTGGGGAACGCGGCGGCGGGACTAGGATGACTTCTGCTGCTCGCGGGAGGAACGGCGACAGGCGACGACGACCCAGAAGCAGCGGGAGAGGACAACGCGGATGGGGCATGAGGGGAGGGGTCGGACGCGGCAGGCTCGGCGGGACAGGCGGAAGAGTCTGAAATTGGTCGGCTGATGCGCCACGACTCGAACGAAGGCTCGTTGAAGCTTCTACGGCGCGACCGGCCTGCTGGGGGTCTGTAATCAGGCGCTGCGAATTGGAGCTTGGCGCCGCGCTCCGCGGGATCGCTGCTGAGAATCATGTCCGCTCGCGGCGCTAAAAGCATTCCCATTCTGGGAGACAGCTGCTGCTGCTGCTGTGGTTGCCAACACGCTGGGTCGCAGAGCACTTGCCGTTAATCACAACGAGCCTAAAGAGGGATTGAATCACACGGTCTTAGCGTTCCAAGTTTGGTATCGGCAAATGTCGGCATGTCAGTCAGATTGGTTCGTTTCACATCTGTCGCGTTCCTGTGTGTTTGGACGAGGTTCGGTTGGGTGACAAGGCTTCGACGACGTCCTGCATGTTGTCCTCGGACGCCAGAATTTTCTGAACATACTCCGACGGTCTCGACGGCTTGAATCGCAAGTTTGGCAGGAAATATGTTGCTTGCTTCCATGACTAGATAAGGCGTTTCAGCAGTGCTACTGTGAGGTTGCGCCATAGACGGAAAGGTTCCACAGAACGATGAATACAAACATGCTTGGGAAGAAAAGCTGAATGCTGCCAAGAGGTGGTTCGATACTGGGGAATGATCCAGCAGGATGGGATGGGAGGCTACTGCTGAGATAAACGGTGCAGTCTGGTACCCAATGGTCGAAAGCGATGGAAGCTGATCATCGTTCTTGACCCTGAGTTAACGTACTGAACCGCGCTAGTCGAACCCCGAACAAATTTATATCAACCAGCACTCAAGAAGGAATGGACGCGTTTCAACGACTGATTGCTGCGCTTCCCCAGTGCGGCACAGTAGAGCAATCTGCCAGATGGACGTGATCACTGCTCACTGGTCGGATTGTGGGAGGGGTAGGGGAGGTGAGGAGAGGGCGAGGGCACAGGAGGGGGAAGGGAGGGGAGAAGGTGAGAGTGATCAGTGTGCGTGGGGTTGGATGGAGTGGAGTGGATGAATGGGTGAGATCAAGCGAACTGACAGCCTCTGTGAGGCGAAATCAGGGCAGCGAGGAAGGCAACTGCCGTGCCGACTCGCCAGCAATACACAGGGCGGGAGCATCTTGTAAAGGTTTTGAGGGTATAAATACGGGTTAAAAATGTCTTCTGGGGCTAGAGAAATGAGAGTCTAGATCCCAGTAGCCTTTTATGAATAATTAACGACTTTTGTGTGCCATTTCCTCACCAGAAAGGGTACGGTGCAAGCTAATAAGGACGTGTTGCAATTGCCGGTGCACTGCATCGGCTCGGAACGAATGGAAGGCTCCAGGCAGGCGGGAGGCCAAATCCGGGCAAAGAAAAATCAAAGTAATGATTAAAATAGTTATTTTACAAGGTTATATTAGGACATAGAATGTTTTTGCGCGTTTTCTGTAAATGTTTTACGGCCTCGTCTTCCCTGGAGTCTTTCTGAACCCGTGCCTCGAGCCGAGCCGATGCAGTGCACCGGGAATTGCTCAACTCTATCCACACACGCTGTAGATGTTGAAGGGAAGCCGGACTGGAGTGCATTAAAAATCAGGCAAGCTAGAAAACAGTATTGGGGAACCCCGACATCTCGTGCTGGCCAAATGGTACAACAGTACACTGAAATATTTTCCTCCACCCGTGGTCTTTCTGTTTCTTCCCCATCGATGACAGCCTCACACATGTCGATGAAGCCTCTGAAGTGACCCCGTGGTGGTGGGAAAAGGGCAAGGCACTGAACCAATCAGACTGCTCCTCCTATGCACTGGACACCACTGTCACGAAAGCTGCCCAAATCAAGGATGAAAAATGCTGCATCGCCACGCGCGCCGCCAACGCAGACAAGTCAACTCACCTCACGTTGAACATGAGGTGAACAGTCGCAGTCAAGTCGACTGGTCCGTTGGAGTGTTTCGTTATGATCCAGTGAGTGCATTCGTCCACCAATAAATGGCCGAGGAACTGATGAAGTATCCTTGTTGCAGTGCGAGCATTTATAAGGACCATGTGCAAGTCGAAGCTTCGTCTGGAATTGCTCAGGTTGGCATGGCAGCTCTACGCTACCTTCCTCAAGAGCTGCCTCACGCTCACTATACGGTCAGTACTCTTTCTACTCCATTTAGCTCCACATACCTAATTAACATAGTAGGTTCACATTGCCATGGTAAACAAAACTGAGAAAGGCGCACCAATGCCAGTTTTTCAGAGCAAGTCACAACTTTCATAATTTCCATTTTGGTCTGTGCCTCTGCTTAACACTAGTATAACTCAAACGCTGTTGCCAGAAACCAGCCACACTGAGCTTGACTGACTTATAAGTTATAACCAACCAACCCATACGAAAGTGAACACAATCCACCAGTTTTACACGTCCACAGTGGTAAGCGCCACAGCATGCATCCGTATAGAAACATCTGACGAGGATTCATCACAGTTGTTGAATCCAGGGGTGCTGCAGCACCTGGTGCAGCTCTATGCGCCTCCCAGGATCCTTTTCCAGCATGCGCTGTAGCAGGTCAACCGCTGGAGGCGACAGCTGCACATGCCACACACCCGCCTCCACCTCACCCTCCGCCCCGGTGACTCCATCACCACTACTCACATCACACCCACTCCCATTTGCCCCACTGGTGCCTGCTCCAGGCGCACTGGGAGCTGCTTGTGATACTGACTCCGTACCCACCACTCGTGCCTGTGACACAGCCGCTTGCCCATCCGTGCTCTGCCTCTCCCCTTCCCCACACACCCCCTCTGGCCCTCCTGTGACTGCCTCTGCTGCAGCAGCAGCAGCTGAAGTGGCGACAGGAGGCGGGGACAGATTGAAAGAGGGAGAGCACTGGGAGGACGCCGACCCGGGTGAAGATGCAGCAGACGACGGTGCTGACACCACGCCCTTCCCGGACCGCCCTGCACCGGGCAGCTCCACGCCGGCCGGCAGCACACCGGGCGGCACAGCTCCGGGCGGCAGCGACTCCCCATCCGGCTGCGCGCCACTGATAGCTGTTCCAGCAAGAAGGGTAACAGGGTCGGTGAGGATGGAGGAGCAGAGGGCGGTGGGGGAGGCGGCGTGGAAGGGCAGGCGGGAAAAGAGCAGGAGGTGCAGCAGCACTCCGAGGCTCCACACATCTGCTGGCGGGCCGTACCCCCCCTTGATCATCTCCGGTGCGCGGTATGCCGGTGCTCCCACTGCCTCCCTGTGTAGGCGCCCTGGTGGTGACGTGGGTGAGGGGGTGGGGGTGGGCAGATGAGAGAGGGTGGCGCTTTCCAACACGCCACCTTCTTTGCACCAGGGGATCATCATGTATGCACACACATTTCAGGTCTGCCACACAGGGATGGTGGATGAGAGAACGTGGATTGTGGGCGTTTCAGTTTTTATAGAAGACAGCAGGGGACATCCGAAATGGGGGGAGTGGATGCAAAGGAAGCAGCTAACTCACCACACTAAACCCTCTCAACTCACCAGGTTCAAAGAAGGTGGCGTGTTGGAAGCCAGACAGGCGCACGTCCACAGGACACCCCTCTAGCCCCATCAGCAACACACTCTCTGCTCTCACCCCCGGGTGCACCACCCCCATCTCGCGACATACCACCCGTGGAATCACAAACACCATCCTCTCAACTCACCTGGTTCAAAGAAGGTGGCGTGTTGGAAGCCAGAGAGGCGCACGTCCACAGGACACCCCTCTAGCCCCATCAGCAACACAGCCTCCGCTCTCACCCCCCGGTGCACCACCCCCATCTCATGGCATGCCGCCAGACCTGCCGCCACCTGCCGAACCACAGCCGCGGCGTCAGGCTCGGAGAAGGCCCGGAAGGAGGCCAGGCGGTCGGCGAGGCTGCCTCCGGGACAGTGCTCCAATACCATGTGGACGGCCTGGTGGAGGGAGGTGGGAGGGGGTGAGGGGGGGAGGGGGGAGGGGCGAAAGGGGGCTAAGAGAAGAGCGGGACGGGTTTTTCTTGAGTCGATTCCCGAAAGAGGCTGCCACCGGGACAGTGCTCGAATACCACGCACCATCTCCATGCCAACCACATGCGGCGCCCCCCGCACCATCTCCAGCATCGCCACCTTCCGCCCCACACCCTCCATCGCTGCTGCTCAGCCTCTCACGCCACCTCACCGGTTCTCCCCTAACCCACCTGCGGGTCTTCAAACGCGCGCAGCATGGCGACCACATGAGGCGCCCCCCGCACCATCTCCAGCATCGCCACCTTCCGCCCCACCGCACCTGCTCTCCCCCCACCTCACCCTTCTTAACTCACCTGTGTGTCTTCAAACGCGTGCAGCATGGTAACCACATGTGGCGCCCCCCGCACCATTTCCAGCATGGCCACCTTCCGCCCCACCACCTCCACCGCTGCTGCACTCCTGAGTGTCGCCTTGCACAGGGTGCGGCACCGGTACTGCCTCCCACTCCTCCTGCACCTGCACACCCGCTCCACCACCCCCACTGCCCTTACTTCACATGCCACCCCTGCTGCCACCGCTGCTGCCATTGCGGCTCCCTCTGCTCCATCTGCTTCCTCTTCCATGCTGTAGGCCGCATGCACGTTTGCATACGGCCGCCGCAGCACGTACCGCCTTGCCCTCTCCACTCCTGCTTCCTCCTCCTCCTCCTCCTCCTCCTCCTCCTCCTCCTCCTCCTCCTCCTCCTCCTCCTCCTCCTCCTCCTCCTCCTCCTCCTCCTCCTCCTCCTCCTCCTCCTCCTCCTCCTCCACCTCCTCCTGCTCCTGCTTTTGCTGCTGCTGGCTCCACTTCTCACCCTTCCTTTCCTTTAGCCGTGCTTTCTCTGTCCTCCTCACTTGACTGTTGCTGGTATTGCTACCACTACCACTGCTGCCGCTGTTGCCGCTGCTGCCACTGTTACTGCTGCTACTCGCCTCAATAAGGTCGGAGCAGGAGGAGGGAGAGGAGGCGGAGGATGGGGAGGAGGAAGGCGAGTAGGAAGAGGAAGAGGCTGGACTAGAAACCACCTCCTCCTCCCCAGACGAACACCCACCAACCTTCACCCTACCACTCCTCTCACCACCACTCCTCTCACCACCACTCCTCCCCCCGCCCTTAGTCTCATCGGACTGCCTCCCCTGCAGCCCGCTTAGCCGACTGCCAGCATGCTTGGCACTGCAACCATCACGAACTCTCTGGAACGCACTAACCTGACCAGCACCCGCAGCAGCAGAGGAGCGGAAGCTGCGGCCACCCCCCTGAGAGCGAGCAACAGCAGGGAAAGAGCCTGAAAGGGACTGATGCTCGTTGCAAGGGACCGAACCATCCTTGCTGAACCGAACCACTCGCTTCATTGGCTCGCTGAACCCGCCTGCCCTTCCCCGAGCCTCAGCAGCAGGCTCGGGAGCGGCAGCAGGCTCGGTGAGTGCGGCTGGTTCGGTAATGGCAGGTGGAGCCAGGTACGGGGTGGCTGGTCGTCGGATGAAGGAAGAGTTGCTGTGAGTCGCCTCAGAAGAAACACTGCGAGCTTCAGATGCCACATCAGGTGCCGCTTCAGGTGTCACCTCAGGTGTTCCCTCAGGTGCCGCAGCTGGAGACAGATATGGGGTGGCGGGCCGTCGGAGGAAGGAGGAGTTGCTGTGAGTCGTCTCGGAAGTGACACTGCGAGCTTCAGGTGCTGCTTCAGGTGTATCCTCAGTTGTCTCCTCGGGTGTTTTCTCAGGTGCCACAGCTGAGGGCAGCACCGGGGATGACTTTTGAGACACAGCAGTCTCAACAGCGACAGCTGACGACACCACTGTGGATTGACTGGTGAGAGCGGGGGAGGCGAAGGCGATAGAGGAGGACGAGGAGGGAATAGAAGAGGAGGACGGAAAGGAGGAGGAGGAAGGGATGGAGGAGAGAGAGGAGATGGAGGGGGAGGAGGAGGAGGGCGAGGGCACCAGAATGGTCGGAAGGGCTCCCCAGGAGTGTGGAATCTGCACCCTCCGATTCACATGCTCCCTGCTCCTTGCTGCTGCCTCCGCTATCGCTCCCAATCCTGCTGCACCCCTCGCAGCCCCAGCACCCCCTGCACCTGTTGCTACTGCGTCTGATGCTGATACTGCAACTGAAGTCAATACGGACCCGGCTGCTGATTCCGACACAGAGGAAGGCACAGCACCCCACGGCTCGTCCCGCTCGCCTATGCGCGCCAGCCCGCGCTCCTGCGCGCTGCCGCCCCTCATCAGCCTGCGCCCGCGCGAGCCCCCAGCAGCACCACCAACAGCGCCCGGCTTGCCAGCGTCCACGGACCGGCTCGACGGGAAGCGACAGCTGGCAGCACTGCCAGCGCTGCCAGCAGTGGTGCTGCCGCCAGCAGCAGCAGCAGCATCGCCAACCAATGTACTCCCAGGCAAAACGCTCCTTGCGTCTGCAGCTCCGGCTGTGCTTGTGCTTGTGCCTGTGGCTGCTGCTGCGGCTGTGCTGCCACTGTCTCGCACGCGGGGGGAGGGACCCTTCTGACCGCACTCGAAGCCCACTCGAGGCGAGGGCGCCCTCTGCGTTGACTGGGTTGACTCGTGGGGCGCGGTGGGGGAGGGGGCGCGCCTGAGGGAGGCTTTAACGAGGCCGCGAGTGAAGGGCGATGAGGAGGGGAGCGAGGAAGAGAGAGGACCGGAGAATGAGGAGGAGGGGGAGGGGCCGGAGAAGGGAGAGGTGGAAAGAGGGCCAGAAAATGGGGAGGAGGAAAGAGGACCGGATAAGGGGGAGGAGGTGAGAGGGCCGGAGAAGGGGGAGGAGGTGAGAGGGCCGGAGAAGGAGGAATGCGGAGGAGAGGGGCCAGGTGAGAGCGGTGGAGGCGAGACAGGCGAAGGAGGCGGATGCGACAGGGGCAGCTTGTGAGACGACTCTGACGCCGGGTGCAGCAGCGGCAGCGGGCTGGAGAAGCTCTGCTTCACAGCTGTATGCGAGTGTGCGTGTGAAAGGGAGTGTGAGTGAGAGTGTGACTGTGAGTGCGAGTGAGAGTGTGAGTGCTTCTCGTCCCTGCCTGCACTACGCGCGACACCATGGGCCATGCCATGGACGACCGACCGCCTGCCTATCCGCTGCTGCCGCTGCCACGCCTCCCCATGCTGCTCCCTCCCCTCCCTCCCTTCTCTCACCTCCCCCTCCGCCGCGGCAGCACAACCCACTCTACCACCTGACCACTTGCCAAAGCCCACGCCTACCATGCCCTTGCTGTCCCACGACACGCTCTTACTCACCTCCCTGCTCGCCCCCTCCCTGCCCGCGCCTCCCCGCTGCCTCCCCCTCGCCCCCGCGCTACCACCCGCGCCTCTTCCCCCGCCCTCTCCCCCGCTGCCTCCGCTGCTGCTGTCCCTGCCGTCGCCGCCGCCGCCGCCGCTGCCGCGCCCGCGAATGGCGCTGAGATCGAAGCTTCGACTCACAGGAATGCGGCCAGAAGACATCTCGCCGGTATAGCTGCTGCTGCTAATGGCGCCGCTGCTGGCGCTGCTCGTAATTCTGCCGCCACCGCCGCCACTGCTGCTCCTGTTCTTCCCCACACTGAAGATACTGCTTCCGCCTCCGCTTCCGCCTCCGCTTGCGCCCCCGCTGGTGCAGCGCGGGCTGCCGGCGGAAACAGGTGGGCTGATGGGGATCCGCGCGAGGGAAGCACCACCGGGGAGGAGCGCGCGGGGGGAGGGGGAGGCGGAGGGGGAAGCAGGCGAGGGGGAGGAGGCAGAGGGGGAGAGCGAGACTAAGAGATTCCGCGCAGCATCTGGCTTCTGCGCCGGCCTTCCCCGCGCGCCAAAGACCGTGACCCCCAGTGGTGCGGACGACCGCGGGGACAGAGGCGGAATGCCGCTGCGCCTCTGCGCCTGCCCTTCCCCGTGCCGCCACGCCTGCACCGCCTCCGCTCCGCCTGTTGCGCTCAGCGTTCCGTCTGCGGCGCCCAACCCTCCGCCAGTTGCGCCCGTAGAGGCGGCCGCGATGCAAGCCGAGGCGGGGATGTGACGCTGGGATAGCGCGGAACTAGCATCCCCTTCCCCCCCTTCTCCCGTCCCCCCACCTTCCCCTGCCTCTCCGGCTTCTCCGCCCCCCGATGCGTCGGGAGCGCCTCCGCGCTTCTGCGACAGCAGCTGAATGTGCGCGAGGGAGAGCGGGGGGGAGTTCGCGCCAGCGTACAGGGCGAGCGGCGGGGGAAGGGACGCGGAGGGGGAAGGCGAGGGGGAGGGGGAGGTGGACGAGACGCAGTGGGGAGACAACGGGATGTCTAGGCGGGAAAACGTTTGCACGCGGGATGGGGCTGGAGCGGGCGTGGCAGTAACGGGGGGAGGGCCGGGCGCGGGAGTGAGTGCATGAGGAGCGAAAGTAAATGGGGACACGGAAAGCGAGGCGCTGTGGCTTCGGATGCGCAGATACGCCTCGCGCCGGCTCCGCGCGTCCTCCAGCAGCGCCTGCACGTGGCTGCGGGGGGGAACCATCCCCGCGCCTGCGACCTCACCCCCAAGTCCCCCGATTCTTCCCGCTTGCCCCTCGTCGCATTCCCCTGCGCTTCCCCAGCCCCCCCTTCGGCTACCAACAGCCTGAATCCCGCCGCTATGGTTGGCGAAATCAACGGCCTTTTCCGCCTCCGCGCTTCCCCTCCGCGCGCCCGACAACGGGTCAGCGCCCGACTCCCCGCCAGCGGACAACCTCCCGCCATCTGTGCCGTCCGCGCGCGCGTTGAGCGGAGCTTGTCCGCCGACCAGTCCCCGCGCATGGGCGTGCCTGGACATGATTGGCATGATGGCGAGGGCGGTAGCAGCTGCTGACGTGGCATCCGTAACGGGAACGGCAATGGGGACGGCGGAAGATGACGTGGATGAAGTGCGGGTGGGGGACGAGTCGGACGGCGGGGAACCGGGGGAACCCGCGAGGGAAAGGGGGAAGGTGGCAGAGTGCGGGGGGGCGGAAGGGCTGGCGGGAGAGGAAGCGGCGGACGAGAGAGGAAACACTGATGAGAAAGAAGCGGAAGCTGCGGACGCTGCGGGAGCGGCGGAAGCAACCTTATCCGATGAACCGGCGGACGGTGCCGATTGGGCGTTGCTGCCGCCTTGCTGTCTCCCGCTCTCGCCTCGTCCGCTCTGCGCCTTGGCACGCCATTGCGACAGCACCGCCAGCGCGCGGCTTACCTCCTCCGGCGGATCTATGGGCAGCGCTGCTTCCGCGAAACTTCCCAACACTCCCGCCTTGTCAGACGCCGTCTGGATGGCATTTCGGCCCGCGATCCCACCGGAGGAGATTTTATCCGTAGATGGAAAAGCGAGCTCGCTATTCGCTACCGCGGCGACTTTGTCGGAGCGCGCCTGGTGCGCGACGCCGCAGAAAAACGACGCGGCGTCTTCGAGGCCTTCCAGGCTGGACCGCTGCTGAGCCATGTACGCGACAAAGGCATGCTCCGGTGATCCGTTACTAGGCGCGCCGAACGGCTGCGACTTCGCGGCGGCGCGCGAGGGCTCTACAAACGACGCCTGCCGCCGAAATTCGCGCGCGCGGAAGGATCCCGAGAGTCCGCCGTCGGCCGGATTCGTCGGAGCGGCATCTGCGACATTCCGCCATTTAGTAATTCTCCCCACCCTGCTGTGATTCCACGTCGTCGTCGCCCCCGTCGCCGCCGCCCCCCCTGCCGCCCCCGCTGCCCCTCCCGCCACGGTCCCTTGCGCCATGAAACCCTCTTTCCGCTCCGCCGAACCCTCCGGGGCGCCCTCCGCCGATCCTTCCGCAAATGTCCTCGTGTTGTAGGAAGAACCGTTGAACGAGGAGAATCTGGTAATCCTATTCGCGGAATGTCCTTCATCGCGTGGCCTCCCCGCGCCGTAACGCGGAACCCTGCCGCCCTCAACGGACTCCTCATCCGACGACGTTCCCAGCTCCTTCTCCCACGATTCCAGCAGCGCCATCAGATCCACTCGCCGCGGTGCGCCGCCTGCACCGGAAGCGGCGCGAGAATTCGGCGCGCTGCGGCCGGCCGCGGCCATGGCGGATCCGCTATCGAAGCTGGCGGTTCGCGGTATCGCCGCCAAGAGCGGTGCAGACGGCCGACGGGAGGGGATAGGTGCGGGTTCCCCCTCTCCAGTCTGCCGCGAGAGATGCCTGATGAGAGGCTTAGAGGGCAGCGCAGAGGCTGCGCGCGCGTCTACTGCGGAAGAGGGAACTGAATCTGTTCCGGCCGCCGGGCACGACTCGTGCAAGCCGCAACCGCACGGGCAGGGGGGAAGGAGCTTTTCGATAAACGCGACGTAGCCGGGCTGAATACAGTTCACCGGTTGATGATATTCCATGGCTCAGTGAGACTGGTGAAACGGACGCATACGCGCTCAAGGAACCAGATCTAGCATGACTCTTGAGGCTCCTCGAGACGAGTCTCTCTACCCGCGATGTTGAGGCAACGCATTGTACAGTATCTGTTACGCGCGGATCTGACAAACATGCAGAACGTGCCGCAGATGAAGGCGGACGGACACGCGTAAGCTACAAGACCATTCCCTCGCCAAGACTTGTAGCATCACAGGAGTGGCGAGCCACGAATCTGTTCTCAAGAAGAGTCAAGAGACTATGGCGGCTAAACTACTGCGCCAACAAGGACAATATGCAATAAGCAAACTGCTTCAGCTGAGCTAGGCAGCATTTGGTTCGCAAGCATTCTAGATGACCGATGCGATGACCGACCGTGTGCGACTTCTTACGACCTGGACAACGTCGCACAAGGAAAGCTGGGTACAGTTGGGCCACTAGCATGCTAACAGTTGGCGCACGTGCGAACGTGGACGATCTCAGTCTGCGCGTCGCCGCGTTTCGCTGAACTTTCTTCTGCCCGTCGAGGGCCCCTTTCCCCACAGTGTAGACGCATACAGCATACAGGTTGTGTGGGACCTACTGTACTGGGAAGCATGCGACCATCGATGTGGTTGCTGGAACGCATAGGACGAGGGATTTGCGTGAATGGTGGTGACGGGTAAGTATCTCGTAGCAGCAGCAAGGGAGGGAAACTCGGTCAATGTTGCTCTGCTGCCGAGGATCAATGGTGCACCAGTCTGCACATTGCAGCCTTCCTTGCATTCGATCATGTGGAATCGTGTTTTGTCTTGTTTTGCCTTCCACAGTTCCACCTGCTCTGACCTAGTTTCCCGCCGAACGTGGACCTATAAACCTCAGAGCTGGAGTGGAAATGCACTGACAGACCACCAGCGAGTCACTCGGCTGTCCGTGTCACACTATTCCTGTCACACCCCTCACAAGGGTGGGTGGGTGTGAGGCAATCACAAACCACTTGTCAGCGAGGGTCGGTGTAAGGCAATTTTTCCGTAGGATGGAGCAAGCACTTTTCTCCAATATTCAATATCAAAGAGCAAAGATCTTGCCGTGTTTTCTCCGACGCCAACCATGGTTGTGCAATAGTTTCGGCATGTACCCTGCCAAGATTCGAAATGCTGCCACTGCTGCCCTAATTCGCGGCGCCTTCACGCTGGTTGCCGAAAAATCATAATTGGCACAAGAACATTGACCAGGTCTCCAACCTCGATATTGCATGTCGCTCGATTATGAGCTATACAAGAGAGTGCGCGGAAGTAAACTAAACTATGAAAAAGGAAGTGATGATTCAAGTGAAAGCCTGCAATATAGGGGAATATCTCAGCGGAAACGGGTCGTCAAGCCTGACGACCCGTTGACGACTTGACGACATGCTGCCCCGGGCAGAAAAAAAACTAAAACCCTATCGGATGGCATGCCATCCGAGGGAGGCATCAACCCTAAATCCATGCCTCCCTGTGTTTAGGGTTGATGCCTCCCTGACCGGATGCATGCCCGAATGGGTTTTATTTTTTTTGCCCGCGGGCAGCGAGCTCCCCCAGGCGGACTCGCTTGTCCGCTGAGATATATTCGGAGGGAGCTCTAGCCAGGCGGGGAATGTGAGCATCGAGGTTGGGTGGAGGTCGGGAAGCAGAGAATGTTTGAAGGCGGCGCGGGATAACCCCAGAGTCGGGGAATTCAGGCCGAGCCTGTTCTTCCGAGGGTTCAGCACCAGATAACTTCTGTGGTGCTTGTGCAGATGTTTGCTTTGCATTTGCACCCGCTGCCCGTGCTCCACCCCTTTCTTGATTCCGCTTCATGTGCATCTGAGAGGCAGGCTCCTGAGGGCACCGTAAAGGTGCCATGTTCCAAGCTCAAGTCTGGCGTAGCCTATCAGGTGACCGAATTTCACATCCAATATTGCGGTGCTCGATTTCTTGCACAATGTGAAAGCAGGTCGTCGTGAAATGTAAAGCGAGGGATCGAGGTTCATTGTGACTCGACATTGTATTTACAGTAATGCTTTTGATCAATGTACCACGCTTCCAGGCCATGGCTGATTTGCTTGGTCCTTCAACGAGGGAATCGCCTCGTTTGTACGACTAAGCCATACACTCTGCTGCCTGTGACTTCCAAGATCCGACCGCTACAATCGTTTCTGTCTCGTAGACATGAGCGGCGGCGAGCCATTTACAGTCTTCGTCTCTGATGACGTTGCGCCAGCAGACGTAGAGCATTGGCTGTTGTTCGACGAAGCCGTTCTGCCTGATCTTCCGCTTTCCACCTACCCGCACTCGCAGACGCAACCCCTTCCGGACGCACCGTTTATTCCCCTAGATCCGTCACTCGCTTTCCTGATAGGCGATGTTCCTATACGTGATTTGCATATAGGAGACGCTAGCACAGACTATGTTCATATACGCGATCCTGCCTCTAACCAAGTCGAAGTTAGTCGAGAATTGCGATTGGATGATTTTCCTGGGGAGCAGACGGAGAGGTGGAATCAGTTTGACGGCGTAGATCCCGTGCGACAAGCAGACACACGCGAGGCGTGTACGGACGGACCTGTTGAACGAGCGCACGCACGTGCGAATATATCAGGCCTCGCGGATTTCATCGATACGCCGGGAGACGCGAGCGGCATGCATCATAGACATGACCTAGCCACGCCTGAGAACGACCCAGTAGGAAGGGTTGATTTATTACGTCCGGAAGCATGCTATGATGTCCCGGACGCGGGAAACGTGCTTGCAAGCAGCAATCTTGCGGCCAGCGGCGATTTAGACATGTGCTTGCCAGGGCAGGCTGGTCCATTCACGTGGCTTCCTGATTCACCTCGGAATGCGGTAGGGGAATCACATCAAGGTTTCCCTGCCATGACAGCATCCGTCCTGCGCGCATTGCAGCCTGACGGTTCCGGTCCGCAGGTCCAGACCTTCGAGGAAGCTTCGGATAGGCTGTACGCGGCGATAGTAGCGCCAGCGTCGTTTCAGCGGGCGAGGGGCGGCTTGGAGCAGGTGCAGCGAGAGCAAGCACAGACGCCGCAACTGCTGCTGCTAGAGCAGGAGGAAGCGCAGAATCAGCCGCTGATGCCGCAGCAACAGGCGCACCAGCAGACGCAGCAGCAGTCGCAGCAGCAGTTGCAGCAGCAGTCGCAGCAACAAGGGCGATACCACGATCCGGGCGAGCAGCAGCAGCAGCAGCTGGGAGCCGTTCAGTCCAGCATACCCGCCAGCACGCGTCCTCTCCCATCCGCCGTCCAGGTCCGTCTCCCCCCCCAGCGCTCCTCTCCCGCCCAGCGCCCCTCACCCTCCCTTGGCGGTGGCAACATAGGAGTGGGCGGGCTCAGAGGGCCTTCCGCCGACCCTCCCTCCGCTCCGCCCCCGTGCAAGCTGCCTCGGCGCCCCCCGGACCTCTCCTCTCGCCTCGCCGCCGTGCTGCAAAACATCAACCCGCCGCGCCCTGCCCTTCCCCGGCTTCCCCTCCCGCGCTTGCCCAAGCCGGGCCTACCTTCCCCCGCTGCGCCTGCAGCTCCCGCTGCCACTGCGCCTGTCGCTCCACCTCGGTCTTTCGCCGCGTCAAGACCCTCCGCAGCAGCCGCAACAATCCCGCCATCACCACCACCAACAGCAGCCGCAGCAGCCGTAGCCGCAGCAGGAGCTGCATCAGCAGCATCAGAAGCAGCAGCTCCCGCCGTGTCTGGTGCAAAGGCGTTTGGGAGCAGACTTGTGGGTGGAGAAAATTGGAACCCAGTGGGCGGTTTCACAGGGCTCACAGGTGCACTGCCCCTCATGCCCACAGGCGCACTACCCCTCATGCCCACAGGCGCACTGCCTCTCATGCCCACAGGCGCACTGCCTCTCATGCCCACAGCACCGCAAACATCTGCTGCTCCTCCTGCCAGCGGCGCTGCTGCTTTTGGGTTGGACCAGGGAGTGCAGTGGCAACCGCACCTGCCGCAGCAAGCGGATTATCACTACCTGCAATCTCTGCAGCTGCCCCTGCAGCAGCAGCAGCACAAAAACCAGAAGCGGCAGGATTATCATATGCAGCTGCAGCAGGCAGCAGCAGCAGCAGCAGCAGAAGCAGGAAGAGCCGCAGTAGCCGTTGCAGCAGCAGCAGGGGCATCCGCTGCGTCTCAGAGCGATACGCACAGCAGCGTACTGAGCAGCGGCGGGCGGCACAGCCACCGTTCAGCGCACAGCAGCGCGCCGAGCACTGCCCTGAGCAGCTTGGCGCGCAGTGCCTCCAGCAGGGCGTCCTTCACTGCTGCCCACGTGGCAGGGGTGGGGCCGGAGAGGCCCCTGCACGTGGACGGGCTGCTGCCGGGCCCCATGAGTGGCGCGAGGGAGGGCATGCTGAAACAGCAGCTCATGGCTCTCGCTGAAGCCATGGCCGTTGATGACTCGGTGCGAGGGGCTTGTGTGAGGTGGGGGGTGGGAGGTGGTGGGGATGGTGGTATGGTGTTCTTTTCCAATAGCTCTCGGATGTGATTTTTTCGTCTCAGCACTAGCCTATTCATCCCCAATCACCCTCAACCAACCCCTGCACCCACCTGGTGTGGTGGCGGCAGTTCATGCAGCACTTTCTCATTCCAGTCGTTCTTTCATGTCTCGCCAATATCTGACCCATCCTCACTCACTCTTACCAAACCCCTCCCTCATTTTCGACCTCGCCCCTTCCCCCCTGCCTCCCTGCCCCGCCGCTCCTCCACCAGGTGCGGTGGCGGCAGTTCATGCGGCAGGTGCGGAGGGAGGCGGCAGCGGGAGGGGACACGCTGCAGCGCATCGCCTTCCATGCGCTGGAGGCACTAGAGGCGCGCATGGATGGCACCGCGCTTGTCCGCGCCCACACCCCCATGAACGTCACTGTTGAGGTGCTGCCCTTGCCCTTCTCCCCACCCCTACTCCCATCCACCCAACCGCCACCCCTGCCCCCTCCACCCGAACCCCACCCCTGCCCCTTTCCCCTCCCCTTTCCCCTCCCCTTGCACCTCTCCTTGCCCCTCTCCTTGGCCCCACGCCTCTTCTTCCCTCCCCCCCTCTTTCCATGAGTGCAGACACAGGGACATCTCTGCTGAGGTAGTCCCGTCCCTCCCCATTCTCCTTCGGAGCCACATTTGCACATGTTTTGGCTTTTGCTCATGTATCTGTCGGCTTTGGGTATTTAGATGTTCAAGCATTCACCTAGCCTTTCCGTGCTTTTTGCTTCGGACTCATCTTCGTTCGAGCAAGCCGCTGTGTGTTCCGAGCTTGCATGTGCCCCATGCATGCCATGTGCCCCATGCATGCCATACATCCCATGCATGTATGCCATGCGTGTGAGCAGGATTCGATGGCAGCGTTGGGTCACGGGGGCGAGCATGGAGTGCCGGCATTCATGCACCTCGCCAACACTGCAGCCGTGCATGAAGTCGTCCGCGCATTCACCCACAACCCCCATCCACCCGCACACGCACACGCACACGCCCCTCCCCTCCAGCCTGCCCCTCCCCCTGCCGCCACCTCTCCCTTTGCCGGCCAGTCCGCGCAGCGGCGGCGGCTGCACATAATAGCCATTGGGTTCTACGGCGGGCCGCACTGGATCAACATCCTCATGCGCCTCGCCACCCACTTGTCCAACCCCCCGCTCTTCCCCGACACCGCCAATGACCTTCTGCCAAGTGGCATCCCGGCAGGGGAAGCAGGGGCAGCACCGGGTGCAGCGGATGACGATGCGATCGGTGCTCAGGGCGAAGCAGGGGCATTTGGTGCAGGTTCATCTGGGGGAGGTGCAACCGCAGCAGGTGCGTCTGGTGGAGGCAGCAGCAGGTTCACGAGCGCGGCTCCCTTCCCCACCTTCGTATCGCCACACGTGAAAGTCACAGCCATTGACTTCGGGGTAGTAAAAGTGGAGGAATACCCAACCGGGCTGGTGCATCTGGGGAAGGAGTACCTGGAGCAGGTGGCGTCCATGCTGGACCTCCCTCTCACCTTCCACGGCATAGAAACCACCCCCCAGAACTTCCACCCGTCACTAGTGGAGGTCGAACCGGGGGAGGAGATTGTAGTGCTGGCTAATTGGGGCCTCATGGTCTTTCCAGACGACACGGTGCTGCGCTCCAACCCCCGTAACTCCATCCTCAAGTGGATCCGGAATCTCCGAGTTGACTTTTGAGTCGACTCAAAAATCTCCGCCCACTGCTGCTTCTGCAGATCGACAACGACGTGGACGCTAATGGGCCCTTCTTCCTCTCGCGCTTCCACGCCTCATTCCTGAACTTTGCTGCGCTCGTCGAGTCGTTCGACTGCTCCATGCCGCACGCCGCCACACCGCGCTTCGTCGCGGAAACCATTCTCGCGCGGGATTTTCTGAACGGGGTGGCATGCGAAGGCATGAACCGGTATGTACGTTCGGAGCGGCTCGGCATGTGGGTGCATCGGATGAAAGCGGTGGGGCTGGAGGCGGTGCCGATAGGGCCGGACACAGTGGCTGCTGGGAGGGAGGCCACGGAGGGCAGGGACAAGAGGTTCCGGTTAGAAGTGCATGCTGAGACGGGCGCCCTGCAGCTCAGCTGGCGCGGCGTTCCCTTGATCTTCGTCGCTGCCTGGAAATGAGTTCGGAGTGGGCCTGGATCTAAGACCGCCTTGATCTCATAAGCTGCAGCGCTCCGATGCTCGCTGTGGTCGCCTGGAGATGAATCCGTGACCGATTCCCAAGGTTGCTGTGCTCCACAACTTGGCGGAGCATTGGCAAGGACAGCATAGCCAAGCTCAGGAACACCAAGGTAGGTTCAGGCCTTATCAAACCAGGGTAGGTTCAGGCCTTATCAAACCAGGGTAGGTTCAGGCCTTATCAAACCAGGGTAGGTTCAGGCCTTATCAAACCAGGGTAGGTTCAGGCCTTATCAAACCAGGGTAGGTTCAGGCCGGTTGATGTCCCTGTTAACCTCCTATCCCCTGCATTTCAACCGTCTTGCCCTACGGTATTTTTCTGCACATGTTTCTTGTGCTCAACGTTTTGCACTTGCTTGTGCCTGTCCATCTTGCCTCCCTTCTGGCTTTTCTTTTTCCTTGTGGGAACCCCCACTGGAGTGTGTTGAGACTAAATTAACACGTGTACCATCTTAACTGTTGCTGCAGGTTCCATAATCGGTTCTGTAAGTCTGTAAGCCATCCCATGACAGAGTTGCATGATAAACAAAGTTGCGAACCATCTTTGGACCGACTTGGAAAACTCTTCAATGGTGTCTTGGAATGCTGTTGACTCGAAAAAATATGTACCCGTCAAACAACGTCAAATGGACAGCATTGTCAAGAATGAAAGTGTTGGTTTCACTAACGTCAAATCAACTTACGGTAACCCTAACAGTTGTACCATTTATAACACACCTGCCGGTTGCTTGACTTGCTCTTGTTTGTCAAGAATGAATGTGTTGGTTTCACTAAGGTTGGTTGGGGTACATAAACCTAACCCTAGCACTTGTACCCCCTATAACACACATCACTAAGACTACAACATTTGACACACCCCCATGGTCTAAGTGAGGGGTGTCAAGCAAAACCAGAAGTGTACGGTCACAAGACCAGTCACAAAGAAACAAAGCTCAGGGTGGATCACAATGTCACCATACACTCCGAGCACAAGCAAAAGAGCCACAAGGCTAGTTCAAGAGTTCACTTAGGTATATGTAAAGTGTCTAAACAAAGCAAGGAGAGAACTCAGGACTATGCAAGGCGAGAACCTGTGTCAACAAGACCTAACTGCACACAACACCTCTGGTGGTCACAAGGCGGCAGGGCCTTGGTGAAGATATCTACAGTGTTGGCCTCGGACTCTCGCAGAAGAAAGTACCTGACGTTAATGTGCTTCACTCTGCTCTCCAATCGCAGCTCTCGACAGAGGAGAATCGTCGCCTTGTTATCAGTGAACAAGGTCGGCGCAGAGCTCGGCCGCTCACTAAGGTCAGTGAGCAAGAACGTCAGCCAGCGCAGCTCCTGCGCAGCCATAGCTCCAGCGTAGATCTCGGCCTCAGCAGTAGAGGTCGAGACCGAGGAGGAACGTGTGGACCTCCACGAAACAGCTCCAGAGCCCAGGCTGAAACAGTACCCCTGAGTAGACCTATGCGTCTCGGCGTCGTCAACGTAAGAAGAGTCACAGTGACTAGTAAACACGACGTCCTGTCTCCCTCCAAGAACCAGGCCCACGCCTGATGTCGTCGCTAGGTACTTCGCCACCCTCACAGCAGCTGTCCAGTGAACTGGACGATGTCTCCCTGGCGCAACAAAGGGAGCAAGGATGCTGAAAGGGAAGGCGAGGTCCGAGCGAGTACAAGTCATCAGGTACATGAGGCAGCCCACAAGTTCAGCGTAAGGACCACTAGGCTCGAACGGCTCGTCAGGAAAGGGTCCGGTGAGTCTGTGGTCAACGGCAAGAGGTGTGCGCTGTACACTAGAGTGCTAAAGCTCGAACTGCTGAAGGACCTGCTGCACCATGTGTGACTGTGAGACTGTAATGGTGCGAGCAGCTCTGTCCCTGGTGATCTGCAGGCCAAGGTAGTGGCGCAGCTCACCAAGGTCAGTGCAAGTGTGTCTCTTCTGCACTTCCAGCTTCACGTCAGCCAAAGCAACCCTGTCAGCAGTGGCCAAAACCAGGTCGTCGACGTAGACCAGTACAAAGAACGGTGTGGAGCCACGACGAACGAACAACGATGGGTCGGCAGAAGAAGGCTGAAAACCAAGGTCAGAAAGGGTAGAGCGAAGGGTGTCGTGCCACTCACGAGGAGCCTGACGGTGACCGTAGACCGGTCGCCTAAGCCTCCACTGGGTCCCAGGAGGGAAAGTGCAAGTGAAGGCAGAGGGACGGCTACCCTGAAGGAAAGCAGTGGAGAAGTCAACACCCGAAGAGTGGTCATCTTCGGAGTAGGCGCGAAGGTCTGAAAGAAGTCAACTCCCTCGCGCTGACTGAAATCTCTGGCCACATAGCGCGCCTTGAAGACCGGAGGAGATCCCGGTGGCCGTTTCACCCTGAAGATCCACATGTCATTGACTACGTTCGCCCCAAGGGGGGGAACCTCGTCGACGTAGGTGCATGTGGATCTGTAGGAGGTCATCTATGAGTCCATGGCAGCTCTCCACTGAGAGGCCCAAGGCCCTGACACTGCCTCAGCGTAAGTGCGAGGAGTCGGTATGTCAAGGGCGTCGGGGTCTCCCTCAGGGGCGAGCAGCATGGCACAGAGATGAGGGGAAGCGGCTGCCAGGAACTCCAGCTCAAACTGCCTATCCTCTAGAGCGACACAGCCAAGGGCAGACTCACCCCCGACGGCCAGAGGACTGGTAGGAGGAGCAGCCACAAGACTGGTGGCGTAGTCAAGGCAGCGAGTAGAGGCAAACTCAGTGACTGCGGCAGTAAGAGCGGAGACAGAGGACAGAGAAGCACGTGGGTCGGTAACAAGAGAGGCGAGAACACGAGAGAGAACAGGACGGTACATGCGGTAGTAGTCTGTGACAGGAATAGAGAGGGAAGCAGTGAGAGCCGACTCAGGAGGAGAAGGAAGTACAGAAGGAGACAAACGAGGCGGACTAGAACGAAACATGGCAGTACGAAGGTCAGTGAAGGGAACAGGGGACGAGGGACGAGCACGAGGAGAGCGACGCAAAGGCCAAGTGTGAGAAAGAGGAGGGGACAACGGGGGCAGAGGAGGAGGGAAAACAGCTGGGGAGGTGTCAGGAGGAGGAAGCGGAGGACCAGAGACGGGAGGAGAGGGGGGGGAGGGAGGAGAAGGAGAGGGGAGACCGAGGGTCCAAAGACCAGAGACAGGAGGAGGAGGTGGTCGCTGCTGCTGCTGCTGCGGCTGCTGCTGCGACTGCTCCTGCTTCGGCTGCTGCTGCTCCTCCAGCCACTGTAGCTCCAGCTACTGCCGCTCCAACTCTCTCTCCTCTCGCTCCAATTGCAGCTGCTCCTCACGGGCACGGCGAACATGGGCCTGGTGCCGGGTCGGGTAGGGGTGGGGGGGAGGAGTAGTGTCCGGAGTGGTGGTAGCCCCAGGACCGCTCTCCAAAGAACCAGTCGCACCACCCCCAGAGCCAGCACCACCAGAAGTAACAGGGTCCGTCCCAGGCTCTCCAGGTCCAGCAAAGGGCGCACCCCCAGTCGTAGCACCCCCAGGGACAGCTCCACTAACACCAGCTCCCCGAAGACTAGAGTCTCCTGCAGTCACGGGCTCAGCTCCAACTCTAGCACCCCCAGAACCAGGACCTCGCACAGGTACGCTCTCTGCTCCAACTCCAGCACCTCTAGAGCTAGCACCTCCAGGGTCCTCGCCACGAAAACCGGCTCCCGCAGGGTCTGCTGTAGGCTGGGAGGAGGACTGCGGGGAAGGAGGCTGCACCTGAGGGGCTACCGAGAGGGGAGGGGTAGCGTGGGACACACCTGATGGGGCAGGACCAAGCGGGGGAGGCTGTACCGGGGGAGCAGGAGGGGGAGCTGAAGTCAGGAAGAGAGGGGCAGGAGGAACCGGGAGACCTCGACAGGGGTACCTGACGTAGTAGGGGACGGACTCGTCGAAACGGACGTCACGAGAGTCAAAGAACTGGTCAAGGGGAGGGTGGCAAAAGGTGTAGTCAGACGAGTCCTCAGAGAAACCAAGGAACAAGCAGGAAACAGTGCGAGGCGAGATCTTGTCCGCGGAGGTGTCGCGAACAAGTGCCAAGCAACCCCAGACACGAAAACGCGATGCAGCACCAGGGGACCCGGTCCAAAGACTGGTCGGTGAAACCTCTGGCCGAGAGACACGTGGCCAAAGGTTCAGCTGGTGAGCGGCGTACCGAACCGCGTAGGGCCACAGAAAATGGGGGGCACGGGCGTGAGTCATGGAGGTGCGGGCGATCTCCATGACCAAGCCTATGCGGCGCTCAGCAACCCCATTCTGCTGTGGGGACTGACGGGTGCCCTGATCGCGACAGAATCTAGCGAGAATGCCAGAGCAAAACTCACCCCTGCGGTTGGAGTGAAGACAGCTGACACGACGACCACGAGTGTCCGCAGTGGTAAGCAACCACCAGATCAGCGTAGAAGTCACGTTTGCCTTCTTCACCAGGGGGAACACTGTGGTGTAGCGGGAGTAGTCGTCAACGACCACAAGAAAGAAACTCTCTCGCTCAGGGCCAGGGCGCGAGGCGGGGCCCCAGACGTCCAAGTGGAGAGTCTCGAAGGGCTCAGTGGCCGGACGAAGGGAGGAGGAGTGAAGGGTGGCGCGCAGCCGACCCTCGACGCAGGGACCGCAGGGTGGCGCAAGTGAAGGCGGCAACCACGGCAAGACACGCGGGAGGCCTAAGACAAGACGCTGACTAGACATAGCGCGCAGGCGAGAAATGGATGGGTGCCCCATCCAGTGGTGCCACAAAACAGAGGGGTGGGCAAGCGACCGGCAGGAGCACGACGCAGCAACTGGACCAGACACTGGAACCTGACAGGACACAGCTACCTGGGGAGACGCGGCAACCTGGTGAGACGCGGGAACTTGACGAGGGACAGTGACAGGGGTCGGGGGCAGTAGCTGCTGCTGCTTCTGCTGCTGCTGCTGCTGCTGCCCTCGGGGGCCAGTGTGAAGTGTGTA